AACTTCCCTCAGAAGTACCTGTTTGATGGCTGAGTACAGGAAAAATCCTACATTTGAAATATGTCCCCTTAGCGTAGATTATAGGAGGGAAGTATCTCAAAATGTATTCTCCACCCTTACAAAAAAGGACACGTGAAAAGATTTCAAGTTAGCACACTAGAAATCATAGAGGTATTGATTTTGATAAAAATCAAGACTTTCGTCGCCATATGTCACGTATTTCAATGGGGATGTGTTTGCCATTTCGCAAAGAATAAATGAATTAATCACTATCCAAGTTAATGGAGCGCCGAAGGCGCGACCATAGCGAGTTTGTTTGCCCGAAGGGCATACAAACTCGCTAGTAGACAATATCCTTCAAAGATAAAACAAGAAATTCCACGTGACTGAACGGTTTCATCATGTTCAGTATTGAAAAGCGACACTTGCCACCTCTGGAATTCTTCGTTCCAATAATTTATTCAAAAGCGCATGTTATGTCCTTTCTAAGGATACGAAATTCGAGATTGGCACTCAACAGATTATTGATATAATCAATTTAAAGATGGCGAATGAGCACTTAAAATTACACCAGAATGAAGCTTCTATCTTGGTTAGAAGATAATTTATTGCAGAAACAGTTTCACAATTCTTGTAAGTATGGGCACAGGGAGACAAAAATTGACGCCAGTCAAATGCATATATCAGGAGATTGGTGGAAGATATAAAAAATTAGCTGAAATTGGTTTCTTTAAATCGATTCCGCTACATGTATGGCTATTTTCGTCCAATTCGTTGCTGGTCGAGCTTACGGTCTGGTCGAATTGGCGTGGAATGACCCCTTTCTGCAAAGCATCTCAATTTTTATTTTTCGCTCATAGTCTCCCCTTAATCGATGACCGTACCTTCAAAATTCGCAGAGGAACATTTCTCCAGGCCGGCTTAGAAAGGAAAAGTGAGATGTAAAACGTTATGGTCGACCATAAAGAAATCTACGGGATAGACCCGACCCCGACAATGGTCTGTGAGAAAGATACAATGGAATGGTTGCCTAGGTACCCAGTTTCGGGAATCATTCCAAGTCTTCGACCGGGTTAGAATCGAGATCATTACCACGATGTCACCCCGAGGAAGCTTCGCGAAGTTCATATCCTTCATCTGCAAGTGCTGTCGAGGTCAAAAGGAGGAGGAAGAAGAGGGGGCCTCAAGAAGAGGAGACCTGACAACGACAAAATATGACGGAGGAGGAGGACGACGCTCCTTGGGGGAGGAGGATGGCCCCTGCTTGATGAATCGTGAGACATTCTCTCCTCCTTCCCAGTTTTGCGGGGTATTTAGAGTAAGTTCCACTTTTGTCACTTTTGAGAATCTTGATGCCATTAATATGCATAACGATGGTTAGTTTCATTCACTGACCATGTAGATTCCTTTCCTCTTCGTCGAAGAATCGTTCCTTGACGTCTGTGGATCGTTTGGATCTTCAGAAGATGGAGCCGGGTGAGCAGAAGGAAAACGACGCGTCTCTCTGGCTTGGCAAAAACGATTCTCCGACTGGAAGTCGAGAGGGAAGCGATTCCGCGGGAAGGAAGGAGCGGAGCGATTCTGGAATCAGCGAGAGCGAGACCGACGCGTCGCAGGATCGAAACAGCAAGTGCCGACTGCTGCTCAAGTCCACGCTAACGTGTGTCTTCTCGCACGCGGGCCTCTACGCCCTCGTGGCCGGGTATACCGTTCTGGGTGCCTTCATCTTCCGGGCCCTGGAGACGGAGTACGAGGTAGTCGTCCGCGAGCGGGGGACCCGCCTTCGCTCGCACGCCCTTACTTCCATGTGGAATACAACCTGTATGTTGGTGTCTTGCCTCTTTTGGTTCCTCTGGTTCCTTTTTCATGTAGGATTAGAGGGGAGGTGAAATTTGCCAAATCCTTTTCGGAAAAGCACAAACATTTTTCTTCAATCAAAGCAATTGAGAGAAACGCTGACCGGCCGCTTTATATATTAGACGGAAAATGCTGTATTGGAAAGATGAACTTCAATTTTAAAATTTTGAAAACCGCGATTGGATGAGAAAATGGCTCATTACATACATACTAAAGTCTGACTCGAACAAGAGAAATAAAAGGTAGTACTGTAGAATCCAATGAACGATAAAACTCAGAGGTAGAGTTTGGGAATCGCTGCGGGTAATGATGGAATCGGATCCCATCAGGCCGACTGAACGTGCTTTGGGAAACGAATTGGACGGCAGAAATGAGCGTGCACCTGCGGCGGTTCGAGGACGCCATCCTCCGCGCCGCTTCCCGGGACGGATACGACGGGCTGGACCCCGACAGCGACGATCGCAAGTGGAGCCTACCGGGCGCCCTCCTCTTCTCCGTCACCGTCATCACCACCATCGGTTGGTGAAGTCAAAATGGATTTCTCTCTTGAGGAAATTTCTCGCCGGTCTGACGGAATCGGATGGCTGATGAGAGAGATATCGCCGCCGCTTCCTGTTGCAAGAAGTGGAGATTTTGATGATTTGATGATTATGATTTTCGTGTCATCTCATGACGTCAAGGATCTCATCGTAGTATCAGGTCTTGAAATCGTGTTCACCCAGCACAAACTAATCACGAAATACACTAGACTTTTTTTCTTGTGCGGTGGATTTCTGTCTCCATGCATCTTCTCCTAGATGGCTGCAACTGAAACTTTTTAATTTCATGCTGTAGACGACGAGTATGGTCATCGTGGATCCTGAACCTTAGGGGTTAGGAGATGGAACGGAACAGATTTGCGCAGTTTCTTAAGAAATCTTAGTTTTTGGGAATGTCACATTTCGACTGACGGATTTGAAGCCAAGGACCAACGAAATTAAGGGAGTAAGGGGGTGGCTTCCGCATGCATGAAGGAAGCGTGGGATAATAATAATTAAGAGACTTGATTGGCTAATGACCAGGTTAGGATCATTAGCCTAGTTCACTTTTTTCTATTTATTCAACTAGTCTCACTCTCTTCTGCGTGAATCATGATGATGAATGATGCGTACGCATAAGCGGGACGCTTCCTGGGTTCATCAAAAAGGTAGTTGTACGACCTAGTCTCTTCTGAGTGTCACATTAATCCTCTCCGATACGAGGCGTAGAACGATTGCAGCGTTTTCACTGAAATTTTCAATTTGCTGACGGTGTCAGCCCTAAAATTTTTTTCTACATGTCCAAAATTAATTTTTGTCGACACCACTACTGGAAGATGACACTTGATGCACTGCCACCGATGGCAGAACTGAGATTCCTTCATGATTCCCAGGGATTTCCGAGCCTTTTTCGCTCAGTGTCGACTTAGCTGAATGCATTTCCCTCTTTCGAATTTCTTTTTTTATCGTAAGCCGATCGACACTAACTGGAACCGAGAACTGGAAAGACGTTTAGATCGTTAGGAATTATCTAGAAAGTGCATCGCATGAAATAAGAGTGATTCGGTACAGATAAGGAGGGTAATCGTGCGTGCTCCCTCGAATATGTATCTTCCTTGAGATGGGAAGGAAATCCAATTCGACCATATGCAATGGGCGAGAAGAGGCCGAGGTGATTTCTCATCTATGGATTCCGTCTTGTCTGCGGGATGGATCCTTTTTCGGTATTTTCCGACTCGTACGAACGAAGATGAATAGCTTTCGATCGCAAGCGCTGTCTGTTCGATGCCTCTTCCTGCCGGTTCCCATCACTTTCTCAGATGTACGAGAGGATGGAAAACCAGACAGATTTAGTTGGGGATCGAGAGTAGAGGGGGAGTTTTTACGGAGGACAAGAAAAATGGAACATCTCACTTTCTTTTTCAGAAAAAGGGCAGCTCGTTATCCATGGAGGATGGAACCGGGAAGGATGGATGGGGGGGGGGGGGAAAGGAAACTCTTTCAGTACTTCTGCTTTCCTTTTTCTTCCTCTTTCCACTCTAGCCTGCTCCGTTCCACCATTCCTCTCCAGCGGCCACTTAAGGAACGGATAAGTCATGGTGAGAGTTGAAACCAGCTCGTGAAAGCCCAGCACTTTCCCTCCCCTTTGCCATCTTTTTTTCTCATTTGTTTCTTGTGACCATAGTTCCATGGATGGAACGATTTCAAAACCAAGTAGATGTCAAGTTCTCCAAATTTTTGAGGAACTGCTGTGATAATTTGATGAAATTTGGCGCACAGGTAAAACATACAGACGCTGAAGAAAGCTTGCCTCGTCCGACAAGCAGACACGAAAGTGTTAAAGCCTCTTCCTTTTCTTTTACTTGCAGAAAGGAGCCGTGATTGGATTGAGGCATTTTAATTTTAAATAGATTCGTTCTGTTTTACTTTTCGTCATACCGCCGCAAGGTTCAGGAATTTGCCGTTCCATTTTCGTCCAGATAGGGAGATCTGGACGATAAGGGCACCGAATTATTGTTAACGTTATTGCGAATTGATAAGCCTTTCGTTCCTTGGCCCTCGATATCATATTAATGCATTTATCGTGGATTATGATGTGCTCGAGGAAGGAAGGGCTTGCCCGTTGCTCTGAACGAAAGTGAGACCCGCGGTCGTCATCTCACTCTTTCTTTGCGTAACTCTCTTCGATTTCATTTCCGGAATATGAGGCAATTGGAGTGTTGGGGCTTTCGGTTCCATTTCCATCGGCAGGATATGGTAACATCTCGCCTCACACGGAGCGCGGAAGGGTGGTGACGATGGTGTACGCGGCGTTCGGGATCCCTCTCGTGTTGCTGTGCCTGTCGAACGTCGGTGGGACTCTGGCCGACGCCCTCGTCTTCGCATACGGGAAACTCGAGTGCCGCAGAAGCGTCTCACCTGCGCCTGTGGACGAACTACGACTCACGGTGGTGGAAGCGGAAGCGAACGAACGGCGACTGACGGTGGCGGATGTGGCGGGCGGGGAGGCGCCGAGGAAGTTCCCCGCCTCGCTCGTCCTCATCATCCTGGTGGCATATGTCTGCGGGGGGGCGCTGCTTTTCTCCCTCTGGGAAGGATGGAACTTTCTGGAGGGGGCGTACTTCTGCTTCATCACGCTGTCCACGATCGGGTTCGGGGATTTGGTGCCGGGACGGGCCGTCTTTCACGTGGACACGATGGAGGAGCAGGCCAAGGTCGTCATATGTTGCTTTTATCTTCTGTTTGGACTCGCCTTGATCGCGATGGGCTTCAGCCTCGTGCAGGCCGAAGTCGTGGCCAAGGTCAGGGACTGCGGGGCCTTTCTCGGCATCATAGGCGCGGAGAAACAGGAACGCCGTTCGACAAAGAAATGAAATCCTCTTCTTTTTTGTTGCTCCAAAATGGCCGGACAAGAGTGAATGGACCCATGTGTTGAAGATTCGCTTGTGAAATTGGTGAAGAAAACCGTTGAGAGGGTGAGTGAATCACTTCTATGACTTGTTCTTCGGTTCTCTAAACGACAGTGACAAAGGGGATGAAAAGAGCACTGCTATATCTCTATTCTATAGAGGGAATATGAATATCATTTTGCTATTTTTATTTCGCTTTCATTCGGGACTCGCCTGCGGTCCTGTTCGGTTCGGGTGAGCCAGTTCCTCCTTGGAGGAACTGGCTCAGCCAACCCTGTCCCTCCTTGTCCTTACTGTCCCTCTGAAAAGAGATAATGCGAGGGACTTGGAGAGAACCCGCATCGTCATCATGGTGTCACAAACCCCTGGTCATGTGAAGTGAACTTGAAGTGAACGATGTGAAGGCCCAGCTTCACATCGAGACCACGGGTGGGACCAAGTTCATAGTTCGTGTCCACTACATCGGTGAAAAATGGAAAACGTGAAATTCTGATCAGTCTATGTTAGTACCTGTCATTTTTCATCTTAGCACAGTTAGCTTTTGAAAAAAAATTCAGCTAAGAACCCAGCTCGTCCGATTGTGTGCATGAATCGTTCGGCTCCTGTAGGAAGAACAGAGCGATTGCGACAAAATAAAAAAAAGAGTAGCAATCTCCAACCGGAGTCCTTTTGCGTCTTTGCTTTTCCTAACCTGATGAGATGTTCCAGTCGACGAGACGCAGAGTTGCCAACTCCGCTGAAAATTCGCGCCTATTAGGTGAAGGCCTGCCCTAGAATCGCGGAAAGTAAGTGAACACTTCTCGGTTTCATATGCCTAGAATACGCCTTAGGAAGCTTCACACGTACCAACACCATTTCCTGTGTCAGTCCTTGAGCTGATCCCCGATTTGCAGCGCGTTCATTGGAGATTGCAGCGACTTCTATGGAGACCTTTGAGGGTCATGGGAAGCTAGTCAACGATAGCAGAAGAAAGGTCAGAATTAAAAAAAATGCGCCACGCTGAGAATAGGCTTTGCACCTTCACTCGTATTCTTCCGCTTGGGATGCAGTGCTGAAGAAAGTGTACCGTCAGTCCGATCGAAATTTCAAGTAGCTGAAGGCCACGGCGACCTTGATCATCGCCTCAATGCTCAGAATGATTCAACATTTGTTTTATTGCGCTTAAAATTGTGTGCAATCGTGCATTTTGCATCTTAATACATTGTAACTTTTTTTAGGCCACCTTGTTAGATGTGTGCGAGGACTCATCAAAAAGTTCCATGACTGGCTCTCATGATTCTAGATGGTAACAACACAGGGCTTGTGGCTGCTAATATAGTAAGAACATGACCTTGAAAAGCGAACTTCACAAGATTGGCAAGAAATGGCGTTGCCTTTGCGACCCTCATGTTTTCAAAGAATACGTTATGTTGGACCCTTGTCGTGCGCTACAATGCCACAAGTAGAGCAATCTTCAGTTATCAAATGCTACGCAAAGGCTATAAAATCTCCCACAGAGGCCTGGAAGTTGTTAAAAGCGGCCTACGGAGAAGATACCTCGAGCAAATCTAGTGTGTGCGAATGGCACAAACGATTTCACGAAGGCCGCGATTCGATCGAAGATAACGAGCCATCCACGAGACCCAATGAGGCCGCTCTCAACTCTCGTGCCGAACTCGTTCGCAGTGACCGTTGTCGATCCATTATTATCATGGCTGCGAGGCCGGGAATCTCGTCTGGATCATGGCAAGCGATGCTAACCGAAGGTTTGAAGATGCACCACGTGGCCGTACGGTTTGTTCCAAAACCTCTGACCGATCAAAAGCGGCATCGCCTTGACACTTGCAAAGACCTGAAAGCAACTGCCGATAGGAATCCAACATTCTTGCAACGAATCATCACAGGGGATGAGACGTGGGTGTACCTGTTCGACCTCGAGACGAAGGCTTGGAGTTCTGTGTGGAAAACACTCCTGTCACCACTCCCAAAGAAATGCCGAACCGACACGTCCTCGTGGGAAGTCGATGCTCATTGTTCTCTTAGATGCCCGGGGCATTGTCCACCATGAATTTGTTCCTCAGGGACGAACTGTCAATGCTGCCTCCTGCAAAGACGTTCTCTCACGGTTCGTCACTGCTGTCAGACGCAGACGTCCAGAACTCTACAGACAGCGCACGTGGATCCTCCAGCACGACAATGCACCATGCTACACATCGATACTCATCCGGGAATTCCTCACCAGTCGCAGAATGGCACTGCTACCGCATCTTCCCTACTACCCACACCTCGCACCTTGTGATTTCATGTTTTTCTCGAGGAGGATGAAGAGTCTCCTGAAAGGTCGTCGTTTCGAGGACACTCATGCCCTCCAGTCGGCTGCGACCAAGGCGCTGCAGGAGGTTGCAAAGAATGGGTTCCAAGACGTCTTCAAGTCTCTCTACAAACGTTGGGAGAAGTGTATGGTGAGTCAAGGAAAGTATTTTGAAGGCGATCACACGAAAATATAAATTCGTCGAATAGGTTAGCAATACAATGTGTAGTCCTGAAACTTTTTGATGGGTCTTCGTATACTGTCCTGAAATCCAAGGCATCCTTGCTTATCGTACATCCAGCAAGAAACTCCTCTCAAGAATCAAACTTAAATTTTATTATCTAAATCCATAATTTTGATTGGAAGCAGAGGGGTAAAGAAATCCAGTCATGCAGCGGGGAATTTTTGTCGCAACTTCTGCGAAGCACGTCAGTCAGCCACTCGAGAGGAGCTCGCACAAACAACGACATCGATTAACGTTCAGGGAGGATTATCACAAGGATCTCCCCTCGATTGCCTTTGAGCAAGTCTATAATTATAAAAAGACGAATGGGCAGGGCAGGTCCGTCTTTCGGTGAGATCGGAAGTCATTCGAAGCCGTGTCGGGAGGAAGTGGGTAGCTCTTGTCAAGTGGAACCCGGTTCCGACTCGGGCGAGGAGAAAAGAGGTGCCCCCTCCTCCTTCCCGATCAAGTAGTAGGTCATTAGTTCCCCTTTGCCCTTCACCTGGACCAGACCCCGGGCCTCGAACTGGTACCCGAATTGGGACAGAATCTCCTGCGTCTCCTGGGTAACCTGCAACCAATTCATCAGGGTCAGTTGCTGCGTGCAATGAACACTCCAGCCGATCCAATGGAATGCTGGATGCATGCATCTGTCAGTTTGGTTATTCGTGACTTTTCTCGAGAATATTTTCTGGATTCGTCCCAGATGATGGATCTTGTGGGTAGTTATACCTCCTACTGTACTAGCCTTTCGTGGAAGTCCTTTTCGATGCAGCTATGTCGGTAGTTAGAATGCAATCACTGCCTTGTCAGCAACAAAAAAAAAGAAACGTTCCTATACGAGCATGGAGATTTCCTTTCCCTTTGCCCTATTGTGGAAAAGGAAGCAAGGAAAGACAGGCGCTGATTGGATTTTCCAGGCATCTTTCATTGTACTGGGTGGCAAAAAAGTCGGATGCCTCAGTATTATTTTCCCATGTGTTACCGAAGAAAAGTCACTTTTATCACTTCGGAACGATAAAACGATATTTTGAAATAGTATTTCACACCAAATGTTCAAATTTATTTCTCCTCGTAGAAATGCGCTGTTGATAGCTGTCAAGAGTGAAGTGACTAAATTTTCTACAGAGCTCTTCATCTAACTTTTGGATTTCCTTCGAATGAACCAGTTGTCTTGAACTTACGCAATATGTAACTGGCCTGTTTCAATGGAAGTAGAACGCCTGTATTTTCTGTAAGTCATGTTTTATTGAGTAATCAATGTGCGAAAACAAACAAGAAAACTCAGGTTAACGATGCACGTATAAGTGACGTATAAGATGCAAGAAAAATCGAACATTTTACAGGGGCAACCCGACTTTTGGGTCACCCTGAACATTTGATTAACTCAGCAGTTTCTGATGCCCGTCAAAGGTTCTCTTTTCTTCAGAAATTATTGCACCATAGTGCGGTTACGTCACAATACTATTCTGCTGGGCCACGGGCTTTTCTCCTGAATTCCTCTCTTTGTCTCATCCTTTCTTTCCGGACCATGAGAGAGCAGAAAAGTACTGTATTTTAGTAAAATGCTTTGAATTTCATCCCTAACCCATGTCCTACGGTGGAACACCGAACAGACAAAAAACCCTGAGTCTGTTTATATCTCTGCTCCCGGTCATTGTTCCTTTACTTTTTTTCACTCTCTCTGAGGGCCGGTCCTTCATTCTTTTTCCTCCTTCTTTCATCTCGTTACATCGTACGAAGTCAAAGAGTCCCAAGAGACACTCTACAAGGAAAGTTTCTCCTGTATGCTATGAGGGTACAAAAATCAGTTTTTCATTGGAAATGTCTTTAGAAATATAATACTATGGGAAAAAATGTACCTGAATGAAGCCGGCCCTTCCGGTGCTCTCCATCCGACTCGCCACGTTCACCGTGTTCCCCCATATATCATAATGGGGCTTCCGGGCTCCTATCACCCCTGCCGTGATCGGGCCGTGATTGATACCTAAATACGAGAGGAATACCGTGTAAAATTATGGGATGCTTTTGAGGTGAGATATCAATACATAGGGATCATCGCCTCTTTCATTTTTCACGGCTAAGGACAGAGATTCTCACACTTCTCCCAGCTGGTGCCCCCCTCCCTAAATGAGCTTCAGTTGCCGACCCACCTTTCTCCACTCCCTCCTTCCTTTGCTGCTTTCTGCCCCTCTCTTTCTCTTAGCACCTAGCGTCGCTCATAATCATATAAAAGTAAGAGTAGGCAACCGAACGACCAGCCGAATTTTTTCCTTCACATGTGCTATTTCCAGCTTAAAGACTTTATTATTGGGCAGAGGTTGGGAAAGAAACATTTAGGCTACGATTCTAAACCGCAAAAATTACCTGACATCTGATTAGACATGGGCCAGAACCGCAGAAGCACATATATCAATACCATAGGGCGAGAACGTCGTCAAGTTCGAATGAGCATGCATACATAGCATTCCATTGGGCCAAAACATAGCAAAGGCGAGGATTGTGTCATATACAAGAATTAAAAGTACAGGAAAGCCAATGCAGGGAAGTACGAGACTTCCGGAGCGCGCGAGTCGCTAGGATTTCGAGGGAATTGAGATTCTCAGTGAATTGAAAATCATGCGTAGCTTCCAATGCAAAATTCATAATCACTTAACCCTGGATTCTCGTGATGGAGAAAGCAGCGACTACGAGTGTAAACGAAGAGCAACTGAGGATCTCACGTGCCAACCGAGTAAAGAAATGGACTCCCAAAAATGAATAAAAATTCCTTCTAGATAGGGACATGAAACTGCGTAAGGCGTTCCAGATATTGCGATCAATAGAAAATGTGGAAAATCTTTGATTTCAGAAGAAGTTCTCCCAGCTTCCCAGTTCCTGGTGTCTATTATCCGTTGTGAGTTCCAAATTCAGCAACACTGACGATTGGGCACTCGAGCATGAAGGACTCTTACGATGATGGATTGTATTTTCTGCAGTTATAGGTATAGCGATATTTTGCGGTTTTGGATCCTAGCGAGTATTTAGCTATTTTATTTGCTAAATAAGGCTTATTTGTGCTAGTACTACGCAAGACTTAGTCAAGTCACTCGATTAGAAAGATGTGCTTGTCTCATGTGCTCAAGAAAATGAATCTCCCTGAAAATGAATATCCCCGCCTCAGTTGAACCCTTAATATCGTTCCAATGAAATAAATCAGATTTATTAACACCAGCTGTAATATACTGGGAAAAGAGAGAAGTAAAAAGAGTAGGGTTTGTCAGAAAGATTGTGGCGGGGATAGAGGAGCTAGAAGATGCTGCTCCGTGTGAGAAACTCTGTTCTTGAGTGTCCCATCTATTGAACGTTTTAAACTCTCGTGAACTGCCTTTCACGAGGCGAAATCGAGGATGGAAATGGAGAAAGAGACCCATTTTGAGGATGAAGTTATTGAAGGATTGTTCGTTGATGGCGTTGAGGGTCTCGCGAAGCCTGAAGGCGAATTCCACCAGGAGGGACAAGTGCCACCACCGTTTCCGGATCGACATGTTTGGCTATCATCAGGCAATCAATCAACCAATCAATAGTTACTCTTATCTATCGACCTGGAACGGGGAAAAAAAAAACACTGTCTCTCAGATCAGGTCTTGTCACCCGAAGGTGTTCCTGTATACAAAACGAATTTGGAGCATCTTATGGTGACAAGACTGGATAAAGACAAGGTGCGTTTTTTTTCTTCTCCAAATGATTCAACTCACGAGGACTTTTCGAGTTGGGGTGAGTCCACTGGCCGCCATGTACGTGGAGCCGATTGTTTTGATCTTGCTGATCTCGTAGAACTCCGAGGACTCCAACAGCTTCATGGGTGAAAAGAAACCGAATATGACGAAACATCCCAGCTCTTTTGATAAAACTGCTCAGCTTGACTAACTCGGTGAATTCCAACCCACTGATTCATCAGAAACATGAGTCAATACTGTAAAGTTGCATTATACCAGGTGGCCCAAAAAAGTATCGAAATTCGTGCATCTGCACACGGGACACCATGCTAAGCATCGTCTTGAAATTATCAGTGTCATACCCAATATATGTAAATGGTTTCAAGAAATTTTCAATGAAATTCCCTGCTCTGAACATGAGTAAGAGCTCTTTCCGTGCAAGTCGTCAAATGAGCGTGTCAGTGAGTTTGCCGGCTCGCTGCCTCGGCGGACAATCATCGGAAGACACATCCATGGAGGATCCATGAAACATTTCTTTCATTGAGTTCAGGCGCGTTTCTTTGCACAATCGCTTTTAACAATGCGCGGGATAAAAATTGTTACTCACGTATTTTACTACCAATTTCAATTAGATTTTTGTTACATTACCTGCAAATAGTGCATGTAAAAGCCTGTAAATTTCCTGCCGATAACTCATATGGTACACCGTCTGCAGGCGTGTAAAGTTAGAGACTTTTTTGGGCCACCCGGTATTTTTTGATTCACGAAGGAAAGTTAGCTGAATTTTTATGATGCCATCGAGAAAAATAAACCCAGTACTTTGAAAACTAAGTATAAACTAGAGAGTACCAGTCCAGGTACAGATCTGCCATTCCAATAGCCCCGATACCTTTGGAATTATCTTCTTCGCCGCATCCTAATCATCCAACCCATAACAGGCAAAAGACGAGAAACTCAAAGGAATTCGAAATAGAGGTTGAATGAATCGCATGTGCTTGGGATGAGGAGAAGAAGCGGCTCACTGCATCGAAGTCGGAGATGACCTCGTTGAGAAACCTGAGGCACTCCAATCCCTGGTTGTTCACCGTCTCCTCCGAGTAGAAATCTGGAAGACGGGAACAGCTCGGTGAACGCGCGTGGGCTTGGGCGTGCTGAGGCGGGGAGGTAAAGGAGACGCACCGGAGAAGTTGGGGATGGAGGCGAAGAGCACGCCGACCTCGGCGTAAGATTGGGAGTAGAGGGTGGAATGCTTGAGCCGCTTGCTCTGCATGAAGTGAGCTGCCACGTGCGGGGGCAGGATGTTGAACACCAGAGCCTGAGTGAGTTCATAGGGAGTGGAATGCTATAGACCAGTGATGAGCAACCTTTTCTGACTGCGGGCCGTAAGTGAACCTTTAAGGTTCCCAGCGGGCCACATCTATCAATATTTTTTCCCCCACTGAATTACAGGTTTTATGCCTTCTGAGTACAAAAATAATTCTAAGCCTGGCTTAGTAAACCAGGTACTAAAATAGTATATGCTAATGATATGCAAATAACTAATTTTGAATATTATTCTCATCTTTTTACCAAGCAAAATACCAAGCAAGGTGCTTGCTCAGAGAGCAGTCATGCTCTAACCAAGAAGAAAGTGAAGGGATATTTGCAACTGTGGTGGAAATATAGATTTTGTTTAATTTCTTGCTTCCGCTTCTCCTGCAGTGGACAATGGAATCCTTGAGCGCACATGCACTCTGCTCCGGATGGCAGGTGACAGGAAAAAAAAATTCAGTTGACAAAGCCCCGCGGGCCGCGGGTTGCTCATCACTGCTATAGACGCTCTCACTGCTTCGTTCTTCTATGTGTAACGAGTCTTTCCGTGTCATTATCTTAAAGGCTGCATGCAATTATTTGGAATTGTAAGAATGTAGCGACACGACTTGACATTACATTTGTTTCGTGCAATTAACCGAACTACCTCATTTCAACCGAACAAGCTTCATCCAGGAATCTCAACTCAGGCGTTACATATGAAGCACCACTGGGGACCATAAACCCTCCCATTTCATCCGTTTCTCAGCAGCCAGGTAGGAGTTACACAGGACGGGTTTCAAAATTGCATCTCCCCTGCCCCACTCTCGGGGAATGTTCATTGAAATATTTGTAAAAGTGACAGTAATAAAACCACTCTTCCGTTCCAGACGTTTTCAAATGCAAGGGGATACGAAAACCAAGATATTTGGTCGAACTATGATAACCGAATCAGAATGATTTTGGAGAATCTAGTCGGAGCATTCGTTTTTAGACCACTCAATTCAGGAAAATTTCCTAGTCTTTTTGCTCATTTGGAAAATCCCTTCAGGGGGGGCAGATGCAACATCTCAGATAAGTTCAAGATCAGTTATCAAATTAATTCATTGTACTGGTAAGGTATTTAAAAAATGCGCCGCTCTATGAAATTCTTTGGTGCCTATAAGGCAGCAGACAAGAGTTTCATTATTTACTTCTGTATATATTTTAACCGTCCGACAATTTTCGTCATGTTATCTCCTGCTGTTTACCAACGTTCTACTAGTAATTTTACAAAAGCAACTGCATGTGGCACTGAATAGGAATGAGAATTCTTCGGAAAGCATTTTCTTCCCCTGCACTTGAGAATCCACGGAGCAGATCTCTGACTCACCTCGGTATCTCTGGCTATTGGCAGCTGGGCTATCTGTTAACGGTACATTTCTTCCATCCTTTGCCAGGAAATTTTTGCTCAATTGCCTCGCCCCATCCTTTCTCAAACTGACAGGCTCTAATCACTACTTCGTCTTCCGCGAAGGGTATCGTTTTCACAAACAGACTAAGGAGCAATGTATCGAAATTGGTGCAAACTGCGTGCACCGGTCATTTTCTGTCAAAACTTTTCCTAGCACAAAAGTAAAATTCGAGACACTTTTTGTAAAATCGTTCTTGTGGTACAACGGCTCGATGGAAATAGACAAGAACTTCAACGGTTTAGGGAATTGAGAGAAGTAATCGCAAGATAACAGCAGAGAAATTTGAAAGGCGGTGGGTTGTTTTATGCCTCACCCGGTATTTTAATCCCAGACTAGAAATCGCTCGAGAGCGTTGCAACTGGTCTCCTGTAATGATGGTTTCTGTGGGGAAGGGTGATCGTCTCCCATCCATCGGAGATGAAAGGAGTTTCCTCTCCTTCCAGTCTCTTCATGAATTTTGCAAGGGAAGGGCACAGCTGGGCATGGAGATAAAAAATAACGAGGGCTTTCTACTCCTTCCTGTTTCCGCATGAATTTCGCAGGAGAAGGGCACTTCAATCTTGAGGAACTTCTGATAGATTCCTTAGCTTCAACTGGCGACACCAGTCGTTGAGAAAGAATACCATTAAAGTTCCACGGCGCGCATTTCAATGAGTTTCGCCCATAAAGTCCTGGGGCTGTTCCCAACACCGTCTTGGAGCCACTCCACTAATGGAATTAGTGGTGAAGCCGTTTCCCTGTTTTCTTTGTTACAGTGATTCCATCATGATTTGGGACAATCATTTCCAAACAATAAGATCCCGTGGCTTTTTGTGATGAAGCCCCATTCCACTATATTTACGTGACATCGGGATCCCTCTGTTCAATAGCCATCGAAAGTGACAACTATTTCCTCGCTATACTTTAATGTGTGATGAAATTAGCTGCTATCTGTGGGAGCAAGACATTGAAAACCGGTGCCTGCATACGTGCATGCGAACACTGTGTTCTCCGTGCCAATGGTACAATAATGAATCCCGTGACATTTACAATCCCAAGAATACCAAAATAGTCATTAACGAGAGATAATAAGACCTCACACCCTTAGCCTTCCAAGGTGAGGAGGGGATTGCATCCGGTTCTGAGACAGAAGGTCAAAAATTTTTCGTCGAACGGCAAAAATGTCGACCATCCAGCCTGAGACGAGGAAGCACTCTCAAAGGAGAGCTTCTCGTCAGCTACTCATGCCACTGACACCTTGTCTGCACTCGCAGACTTGCATTACTAGTCATTCATGACCATTGAGAATTTTCAGACCTAATTATTTTTTTCATATTCGGTCCAATTGCAACGTCTGTCAATTTTCATTGAACAACTTTCCTTGGTTTCGGAGAGTTTAGGAAACGATAAGTCTATAGCAATAATCTATACTTCTATACTTAGCAATCGTTCTGGATGAACTAACTATGAGTTTTACGAAAACTCTTCTCGAGTGGCTAAATTGCTAATTTACCCCTACGTCAAGATTCATTGTTCAATTTTTCGGGGATTTTTGGAGTATTCATCCATATGTTCATTCTTCCAAAAGAATGGTTTAAAAAGCACCTTTCAGTTATGGCGCGAAAATGACTAATTTGAGAACAATCTGCGGATCGCAATACTTGCACAATTGGAATAAAGCAATCTGAAGGATCTGTATGAATCCGCTAAATAAACAATTTAAGCAAGAATTTGACTTGAAACAATTGCTAACTTATCGGAAACACGTCCGTGTACCAGTATTGAATGATTGCATTCATAACTGAAAATATAAATCCTTATTTTTCCGACCCATGGCCTGCCCTTGTCAACTATGATCCCTATATCTGTTGCCAATTGCGGCCAGACACATGGGGAACGATTCTAAAGCGATAATTGTCGAGCACCTGATTATGCCTCCGAATGGCGGCCGCCCTCTCCCGCTGCTCCGAGATGGCCGCCTTCCAGATGAACAGCACCCGCTGCGTCTTCTCCAGCTGCACGAGAACGAAAACCGAAAACACTCAAGAGTTTTCCAGGGTAGGACTTAGTGAGTCGAAGGGGAGGGGGATGGCGCACCTGGCGGGTGAAGAAGAGGAAAACTAAGGAGATGAGAAGGAAGCTCAAGCAGACCTCGTGCTTTTCTTCGAGCACTCTGGCGGAAAAAAAAAAATATCATCACTTATGTTTGACATAGAGTAGGAAGCCAACAAATGCGGTAAAATTCAAGTTTCTGCGCATCATTCGGCAAGAGTAAAATCTGACTCATCTGAATTCGCCAGGAGCGAATTCTCTCTAAGAACGGGACTCAATTAAATCTCTTGCATGTTAAGCAAATGCCTAAATCTGGTAGCAAGCTGTGTAATCGATCAGGGAGGTCAACAATGGAGGTCAACGATGGGCAGTGGCGAACGCAGATCAATGATGAAAGCTCGTGAAATTTATCGTGGCTTTCGTGGCCTACGTCGCCTTCATAAGTCCAATATACTCCAGTTGTTGCAAAAAAAAAGATGCTCCATCTTTTACTCTGAGGATCATACGTCTCACGGAACTTCCTTAACGGACGCCCCCCAAAAAAAATAAAAAGGTGCAATAGCAATGGCGAGACCCACTTCAGTCGAGCAACTATGAATCCAAGTATCATCCCTGTCGATCGCTAATTGCACATTACTACTGAAAGGTTAGATGATCCCTCTGTCTTAGATGGACTTCTGTTAAAGCCATTGGAGGGACACGTTGAAGCATGGGAACAGGGATGCCGCACCGCCCACTGGATCAGAATGGTCACGGGCAAAGCATCTCACAGACGTGGGTCAGGCCTAGGACCGAGGTTCTAATAAGGAATGGCTCTATCCTCGATTCCATCGCCGACGATTGTTTTATGGAATTAAAGGAATGATAAAAGAGAGAAAATTTTAAATCTGAATCCTGAATTCCATCGGACAGAGACGTAATGAAACGCAAGACAACTAAATTATAATAATATAGTAACTATTATAATAATAATTATAAACGGTCTCGTCCCCCTTTAAAGGGCTACTTTAGCAGAGGCAATCTGGGCATCGCTCCAATCTGTCAGCACAGAACACTGTTGGCTGAATTCATGGTAGTCCATTTTCTTTAGGCTTGATTCTTTTCTCTAGGCTTGATTCCTTTCATTGTAGGTCTGCATTTTCTCAGGCTACCCTCGTTTTCTGTTTACTGCATAGGCCTGAGTCATTCCAAGCCATGCTGGGTTACTTCCTCTATAGACTCAGTCCTGTCATGAACTTCGGTCGCAAGGCTGGTCAAGCCAATTGATAGCCAACAGGCAGACGGACTTAAGCCGGGTTTGCCTCCGAAAAGTATTACCTTTCTGATTTAATTTCAAAGCTTTAACGCCTAACGGCAGAAACAGTCTGGATAGGGGGTTATGTTAAGCTTGCAGCCTCACCCCCCTGAAGACGCAGGCTGCATGACAATTTCTGGGATTTTTCTTCCGTCCTTCCTCTTTTAGCTTTCTTCAGCCTTGCCCTTTTCTGCAGGCTTGCTCCCCATAGTCTAGTCATTCAATCTGTCAGGTTTGGTTCGGGATCGGGTTTTTTTCCCCCGTCGCCTAGATTGGGTTGAGTGGGAATGGCACCACAGTTAATTCCCTTTTACTATCCGTGCGCCTTGGTTGGAAGCAGACTACTATCCTACCAGGCATTCGCCTAATAAGCCGTTTTTTAATATCGTAGGACTCAATATTATAATATTTATATATAGTACATATTAGTGTTGTGGGGGTTGCTCAATCGATCAAGCTGCTAGTCCTGGTCTGAGATCTAGTCCCTGCTGAGATGTCAAAACCCATTTTCTATTCTTTTCAAAAACAACGTTTGAATTTTTTCATTCTCGCCCGAGAAGTAGAAGCGGAAACCACTTAGGCCTCCTGATATGAGACCTATGGCCGATGGTCGATTGCATACAAGTTATTACTCGCAGAGAATAAACGTAATTCAACGCGTCGACAAAGTCTTTGCAAATTTAAATCTTGAATCAGGATTCCCTGTTTAGAGCGCGGACGTGTGAATCACGGGGATCAACGAAAATCGGACTATGATCAACTTAACCGCGATTAAAACCATTCTGAGCGAGTTTCCAATAGTCATCGACCAATCATGATTGTTGTTGAGTTCGGTATAATACTCCAACACGGCCTACAGAACTACCACATCCTACTTTGAGACTTGCGCGTTTACGGTGCCACCAACCCATTAATCGGCCCATTGAATGGACCGAATACAGCTTATCATTTTATGACGGTCACTTTTACGATGCCAGGGCCGCTAATTCAAAAAGAGGTTTCCTTTAACCACGCTGAATCAGTTTACGAAGGCTATCTATGATATAGAGACTGTCTTTCGGCATAACCCAGTTTTTATGATTGAAGTACGGTACTTAGGTATCCATGCCAACAGGACGTCATGGTTTTATTGGACTCCTGAGCGCAAGGAATGTACCTTCCCCTACCTTTCTGGGGGGCGGGCTCGGCTTTTGTGTCGAAACATAGGTTCCTTGGTCCTTGTCCCGGTCATCGCTTCCGGTCTTTTGACAGTGCGCCCGCAAGAGATGCAATTCACGCAGCAATTAAATTATACTGCAATAAAATTTCACATCAAGATCTGACACATGGCAGATATCGGCGATGCCTTTCGTGGAATGCCACGATCCTGCTAGTGCGCAAGCAATTTCCATTAGGCTTTCGCGTAAAACGAGCAGGATGTCATTTTTCTCGCTTAAAATGGAATCTGAACAAGGAAAACTGGATTGCCTGGGGTGAAGCTTTCGCCCGTTGGTTAAGCCCTAATCCCCCTTCCCACTCTTTCTCGGGAAATTAGTCGGTCTGATGCCATTCAATCTGCATCCGAAGAGATACTCAATCATCTAATGTAGTGAAATAATGTAAGGATTATTACATTAATGTAATTAATAATATTGCAATATGTATAAATTAAATTAATATGTTCTATTTTCACGTTTGCACTTAACGATTTCATATTGTTTTCCATCCTCGCGACAATTAAAACTACGTTGAAGCTTTTTCGCTCGTCGAAACACCTGATACGCGGTGAAGACCGTTCCCTCGAGACAAAGCGATGGAGTCGGGATTTCCGTGTCTCAACGCTCACCCGCCGAGGAAGGGAAGCCCCATGGCCCGTTGAGCGGCGGAGAACACCGTCTCGACGGGAGGGAGGAGAATCAGGAGGACGTGGGTCGCTGAGATCCCCAGGATCAGCAGGCCTTTGGTCACATGGTCCAGATGGGCCAGCAGGGACACGCCGATCAGCATGAGGATCCCGAAGTGGGCGAAGTAAGCCGGGTACAGGCAGTAGTCGAGGGAAGGGGAAGGAGACGCGGTGTCGTTTGTTCTCGTCACCTCCGTTCCTGTCTGGGCGTACACGTCCAATGCAGGCTTGCAGAACACCTGATGGCATACCCATTATAGTTTCTCAATCCGTGAATCGGAATTTCAGGAGCTAAATAAAAATAAATTCAGGACCACGAATGGAACTTCTAGAAATGATACCAATTGAAGCTGCTCTGGAGACGTAACTGTGATTCGGTGCCATAAAGACGGAATGCTCAGATGTATTCAGATAAAATTAATTTTAAAAAAAACCTGTATTATGCGAACACGAAAAGAAAATGTTGATGTCGAGAAAAACAAATCACAGAATGCAAGAAAACCAAAACTCTAACAGAATGAGCAAAAATACGAAATGTAAAAGCGAACATCGAGGGCCCCACTAAATCCATCGAGCAATTAAGCGAAAGGAAGAAAAGGCACCATGTCGATGATATTGAGGAGGAGCAGGATGGCGACAAGGCCGATGACGTAGAGGCTCCGGACCCAAAAACTTCTCTCCATCCTCTCCCATATCCTCTCCAACCGTTTCCGGCAAACCTGGATGGAAGTGCATCCCCCCATTTCACGCATCCTCCCATTCCGTTCCATGCATCCCCACGCTTTCAGCGTGGGGACCGCTAAGCCGAGGAAATCAAGTGGAGGCGGCGCAAGGAATAGCGAGTCTGCAGCGGTGCCCTAAAACTTTTTCAATCGCGACTCATTTGCCAGCTTAAAAAAAAAAAATTTCGTGACCGATCGCAATTCGAACCAATCGAACAAGGTGTTTAAAAAGTTCAATATAAAAAAAACTCATGGGCCTATTCCGTAGGCTTAGTTTGATTCGAAGCGAGCGAAACGTGTGGGATTGCTGGTATTGTCAGAGACTGTCGATTCGAGGCGAAATCATTCCGATATATGCATATACCATAATTTATTTTAAAATAGGGAATTTCTCGCGACTCGCTGTTTCGAAGCCCCTACAGCGGGCCTCTCTTCGACCCGATAGTCCCACTGTGAACGTCAAAGGGCTCCGTAACGTCTGTTCAACGATCCCGAGGATATGCCTGTAATGTGAGGCCTTACCGGAAGCCGAAAGAAATGAAAGGAAGTTGACTGAAAGATGAAAAAAATATGAAAGAATGATGCATGAAAGAAAGAAGCCCTGAAAAGTGGAGCCTTTGGGACTCTCCCAGGAATATTGATTAGGCCTACTTACGGTGCAATGGCTTCTTTCCATCATTTTATTATTCACAAGATAGATGAGGAAAAGGGACTAGAGAACCTCTCGCGAGAGTAAACGAAGAGAGGGTACCCGACACGCACGACTCGCAATAACAAGAATCCCTACCGCCTCCAGACGCTTTCCGGGCTCGGCGGGCCGAGTTGCGGGACTCACGGGTGGCCTGATGCAGGGGAGGACGACGGAGAGGAAGACGGGGAAGATGAGGAAGCCGGCCGTCAGCGTCGACAGCGATGCCACGTCCCTGTCCGGAAATGGATTGCGTTGGGAATCACGGGGGGAGAGATAACGTCCTTCTAAGAATCTATCCAACCAGATACGTTTTTCTATTTCCGCGGAGAGGTCATCTAAATGGCTCTGCGACCCGCTTGCGAAAGGCGAAAAATATATTTTTTGGATCTTCGACTGCGATACGGAAAAATATCAATTGCATCACCTATTCGGTCGTGAAACCCGCCCGACTCCGGGGAGAGTGGAAAGTGCTCGCTTTCCAGGCTCCGCATGCACCCCTTTCTATTCAAGGCTTTCCATTCGGGCTTTCGATGAAAGCGGCGACGTCACGATGAAAAAGAGCATCCACACCAGACAAAAGATGCGCTAAGAATGGCACCGTGGGGGCCAAGTCTCTTTCCTTTCCGGAAGACGTTCTTGGAAGAAAGACAATGCTGATGCTGCCTGAATGTCTTCCCGGAAAATGAAGAAGAAAGGAATGAGCGAAAGAGAAAGGCGCAGCACGAACACAAGGCGAAAATGGTCGAAGAATGGATCCGATTGCGGATCGATTACTCCTCTGGCGAGCGCTTAATTTTTCAATTAATAGGCAAAATCTTCAATTAACATTACATTTCGCGTGACGATGGCTCCTCGAGTCATCCCCACGATTCCCTCGCCCTCTTACCGGCACGGACCATTAACCGCGGCTGCCTGGAATCCCAGAAGATGCATGGAAGAAAAGACGGAAGATCCTCGGAGGTGAAATTGCGATCGGTACGCAACGACCTCAAACGCATCTCTGCTTGGTCGCGGTCGGGAATGAATAGGAGAAAACGAGAGCTGGTTGAAGACCAGCCGAGGGGCAAGCCTCCCTTCAGTCATACAGACTAAATGATGCGGAATGGGAAGAACGAAGAGAAGAGACGGAAGGGAAGGGTCTCGCTCTAGAGGACGGACTCCCCTCCTCCATCCTGCGCCTTTAGGCCTTCTCTTGAGAAGGCCTCAAGGATGGACTTCCTTCCCCCTCTTCATCCTCTCTCAGAGCTTCAAAGTTGTATACGTTTCCCACCATTGTTTGTCTTTATTCTTGGTAAGCATGCGAAAGTAAATAGATGTAAGTCAAATCGATTTTCGAGTTATGGTGATAAAGTCTGAAGCAGTTCGAATCTCATAAACGCTGAGGAAAACTTGGCGCCAGCACAGAATCATGTGCACACGCATGAGGAACCGCATTCATTTTCCGCAGAACGAAAGCTGGCTAAAAAGCAAGCAGATAAGAGTGAAATAGACGGCTTCCGAGGAGCATATCTCCGCCGTGCAGTAGTTTGCAGGCGGGAATTCTCCCTCCCACCGCCGACACCAATCCCATCCCTCTATTTTTAAGAATCCCCGAAACTCTCTCATGACGCAATTCCGAGTCTGACGTTTCTCCGGCATGATCATTCAGAGTCTGATGGGGATGTCAGACCGCCTTCTCATTTTCTCTTCTCACTAGACCGAGTCATCACGGGGATGGAGCTACCCGTCATCGTTCCCCAGACAGCTCTTCCACCATGAAAGAAACGAACAGGACGCGATAGACTTGGGAAGGACAACGAGCCGGGAAGGAAAGACGCGAAAGACCTGGGAAGGACGACGAGCCGGGAAGGAAAGACGCGAAAGACCTGGGAAGAACGACGAGCTGGGCCACACTCGTGGCGAAGAAGATGACGGCGAGGACCGCAGGGGACAGCTTGGAGTCGTCCTCCAGTCCCCCTTGCTCCTGGAACTCCTTCTCCATCTCCGCCTTGACAAACTTGAGGAACGGCTGCTTCACGCTTCTCCGAAGCACGGCCCTGGCAAAAAAAAAAATCGCAGATCGAGCCTTGGAGAATCCTCAATGCGTAATGGCAGGTAAGCCTTGCCTGGGTAAGCATTAATTGGCACAATAGTAAGATAAATCGGATCGATATTCTGACAAAATATGAACTCGAGCTTGTACTTTCCATCGTGATCATTTTCTGGAGCACCAGTACTTAAAACTTAATCTTGTTCATGTGAGTTTGGCAACACTGCACAGGAGGATCAGAGTCCAGTCGATGAGTTCCAGCAAAACATGAGAGCAGTAAGCCTGACCTTTGAGGCCTTGGAACAATAATGGAAGGTCAATGTGAGAAATACTTTCAAGATAATTTAAGCGAGAAGAAAAAGTTACCTTCAAGACTTACTAATAATTTTGCTATGAAAAAAAAGAGTGTATTAGAGATCAGCACGCCATGAGCTTGAAGCAACTCGCAATCTCCCTGGGATCAGACGAAAAATTTCTTGGAAACTCTAGTGCCAAACTTTTTTAATACGAAGCGTCGACATCCAACCAGCATAAAGTTCCAAAAGTTTACTTCTCATAATGAGAGCCAGTATTTCTACCCTGAAGAAAGGACCAGATTCGATGACCCTCATGGACCGAAGATGTCGACTGGAAACAATTATTTCAGACATTCAAAGGAACTTGGTACCAGTACGTATTTGGTATCTGAAATTCAATAAAAGAGTCGAGGCTCAGAGGATATACAATTCATTAATGATATCGATATATTACAGTCGGTATTGCAGAGTCTGCGATTCCCTTAATGATAAGATGACACGAAGAAAGGAAAAAGAATTTAACATATCGTGCGTTTTCGAATTTGTCTTCCTGCTTTTAACGACAGCGCACCTCAAGGGATGCAACAAACAAAAGCTGCTATTTTCACGCATGAAACCTCGATCGTTGTTTTGTAGTGGTGAAGAACTTTGTAGCGTGATGATCCCATTTCAACATCACTTCCCTTTTTTTTTTTTACTGCAAGAGCAGATGAAATGAACGAACGAGATGCTCGCAGCATTTTTAAATTATCGACGAGTCTCCCTGGGGAAATTGTCCTCATTTTTCCAATTTCGCCTCGGCCGCATCTTGGAAGCGCCTGTGCACCCTGCTCACGCTGACCGAGAGGGCCAAGCGGCAACCGAGAGGGCCAAGCGGCTCCCGATTGGGGCGTCGCGGGGGGAAGGGCAGACGTCCACTGCTCTCTGGGCTCGACGTTCGCCGAACAGAATTAAATTTTCTTTCGCTTGTTCCTTTCCAAGCAGTATCGATGTCGCAGGCAGGGGTCTATAATGCAACGAGACAGGAGCGGGGTTTTTCTTCAGGAAAGACTGGAAGAATGCCAGCCAAAAAAAAACTTGCAGGGAAGTTCCCAAAGGAGCCACGGAAATGAGATTCCCAGCTGGATAATTAATTGATTGAACAGTTCCGTCGGTTGCTTTCTCGTTGCCTTCCACAGACAACCGAAGAGCGTTGATTGATCGATTGGCCGAGCACAGATCTCGTCGCAAGGTGAAGAAGACGATATAGATTCGCTTCCGTCTAATTCGTGACAAAAAGGCAATGGTAATTGGCAATTTCCGGGGAGACTTTTTTCAGTCACGCACTTCGCTGATATCTCCGGGCTCACGTGTCCACAGATGTAAAGTAATTACTCCACGAAAAAAGGGTAATCGTAAGGAATGATTGATGATCGTCATGACCGAGAAGAAATAAATTTTCTCCCTCCGAATAAAAATTCTCTTGCCGCTCGGAACATCTCGATGCTCCTCACGTATCCTCGAGTGATTCACGGTGCTTCTTCGAGCTACATGCAGATTAGATCGCGAGGAAGACTTTTCCCTTTCTTCGTTCGTCTTGGGATGAAATGCGTCTTCTTCCAAGGATAAAAATTACGGTAACAAGTCGGATTAAGGCGAATTTAAAGGAGAAAATAATCTCACCGGAAATGGAGGAGCAGCGACCTCACGAAAACATTCCATCGGATATAACCCATATCATTCCTTCTGAGATAACTATTTCTTCTGAGATGACTCATATTATTCCTTCTGAGATAACTCACGATATCGTTGCATCGGAGATGCCCTTCTATACCCTCCTTCCGCACGACTTCACAAAATTCATGAGCCGCGAGATCGAGGAAGATGAATCTCGAAGAGGATGAATAGCGAAGATGATAAAAAATAATGGAGGGGATGAAAAGTGAGAAAGGCCTCACTCATGCGCCTCTCGGTTGACGAGTTCCTTCCGGAGTCTCTTGCGATAGAGGAGGGTCCGACGCTCCTCCCGCCGCGTGCTCCCCGACCCGCCCTCCCTGTCCCGCTCCGACAGGGCGCAGTTGGACTCCTGGAACGGAGAGGATGGACTCGTTGAGGCATGCGTTCGTCGAGGGTGGGAGGAACGGGGGGGGGGTTGGGATGGGGCTGACCGTGAGGGAGTTCTCGCGGGAGAGGACGTCGTTGTCGGAGAACTCGGGGTCCAGCAGGACCGCGATGTCCCCGTTCGGTTCCTCCGTTCCCTCCTGGAACTGCCAACGAAACAAAGCCACGCAATCCATTTAAGCAGGCAGGAGGGAATGGGCTGGATCGAATAGCAATGAAACGCGGAAATGCTTGAATCAACATTAACGATGGGGAGCAATAAAAACAAAGTCAATAACGAAAAGTGATCTTGAAATAGCACGAACGTAACATATCAAATTGGATCGAGCCGGATCGATCGTTAAAAAGAAAGGTGAACGACCCATCACTGACGGGAATAAGGATGCGAACGATGAAATAGGTCTTGAGCCCTGCGAGTCGGAGCGCCTCCTCCCTCTTCTCCGCCCACGCCGCCTCCACTTCGAACGCATCCCCCAGCGTCGCCAGCGTGACGTTGGACACGTGCACCCTCCCTGGCATCCCCGCGCTCTCCATCTTGTTCGCCAGGATGACGTCCTTGGAGTAGACGTCGTAGTGCCACTGGCGCTGGCCGAGGACCCCCGCGAGGACGGCTCCCGTGTGGATCCCCACCCTCATGTCCACGGGGCTTCCCGTCAGCTCTCTCACGTACTTGATCGCTTCCACCATGGAGAGGCCCATGTGGACGCACAGGACCCCGTGGTCCTCGCGATCCTCTGGGGCCCCGCTGATGCAGTAATAACAATCCCCCAGGATCTTGATCCGTAGCTGATGATATTTCTGGCAGAGGAGGAAAAAAAAAAAACGATGGAGATGCAGGCAACCCGGGAATCGTCTCCTGCGTTCCCGGGCTTCAGTCTCAATTTAAAAAAAGGCCCTTAGCATTTTCCTCGAAAATACATTATAATGTATAATTTGGTTCTAAATATTTGATGCACAAACCATTCACATAGCTTTTAAAGAGCTTCAAAGAGCGAATGTTGCCAAAGATTCAAATATAAGGCTATATTTAACTCATTCGAGGACGAAGATGAATAACTCAAGACACGATCTTTTTTATTATTCAAACACTGTGCAGAGTCGTTCCATGCTGGCAAACGTTACATTTAGAGGCATGTAAATCCCAAACATGCACAATAGGACATTACACAGCGCCTCCAGAAGTGGTGATTTATTTTCCTCAGATAGCCCCTTGGCCTTAGCCTTTTGCTCTTTCGGGTAATAAACTGCTCGAAATGGGGCTGGAAGCGGGCGAAACGGCAAGAAGAACTTTTCACCTGAGCCATCTCATCAAAACCAAAGCTGTTCGACTGGGGTCTGCTCCGTGTGGAATTTTTTTTTTATTCAGTTCAACTTACCCAAATGGCATTCATGAGACGAAAGTCGTCTGGGATGACATCAGATCGTAACGGCGCGTGAATTTTCAGGTAAAAAGATTTGCTCGTGAGAAAGCACGCTCGCGTGTCCATTCTTCGTGATGGGCGGATTTCGGCCACAAACTGTGCAGATTGTTGGAGTGATTCGCAAAATTTGTGTTACTGCAGTTCGAACTTGAAGTGACTGCCAGGAATGACGCAATAAAATCGCAGTAAATGTTCTACGTGAATATCGAATTGCTTTTTAACCGCCGTCTTGGGAAAAAAAAATATATTTCAGCATTCCAGACGGAGCAACAAAGTAAAGCCAAGAAAGAAATTCCCTTACGAGCATTGGTGATTTGTAAATTGGGGAATTGTAAATGATAAATATCTTTGCACAATTCTGGTTCCTACGATAACATTTGAAGGAGAGGAAAATGGCACCAAGAGTTTTGGTATCTCTGATCCAGTGTGCTGTTTCTCGGAAAATTAAAATGATAGAAAATTAATCTCACGGGCGACGTCCGACGGTTTCAGAAGCACACGGTTAAACGTCAAAATCTCCATGTTCATTAACGAAGGAAAATTTTAATGAAAAATGATGAACATTACATCGTCACAACTTCCATATTTAACTCGTGATTTAGCGGCGAAGAAGTTGGATTTGTTGAAGACACCGACCTTTACCATCGACATTCAACTTCAACGATCATTAATTAATCAATTGCATGACAATTAGACAGTAATAAAATTCCCAAGCGGTTCAGATAACGTCAGCCATGGATTCCTTCGTGTTATGCCAGACGATAAAACACTAGGAAAGGCTTGATATTAAATTCCTCCGGATGCCTTTTTCCCAGAGGAATGACCCTGGAGTCGTCTCATCTCATGTTGCACGCTCATCCGGAGCCTTCCTCATAAATACTGAGGTGGGGGGAAGGGGGGGGGGAGCCTTAGAAGAGGTAAGAAGCCTGCAAAAGGGGGGGATGAATTTTCCATGAGCCCCGTTAATGAAAGCCCGTAATGAGGCTTGAGCAGACTTGAAGCCCTCAGATATCCTGTCGAGCCCCTCGAAAGGAATTGACACACGAGTCCTCGTGACCCCCCCCCCCCCCCCCCCCCCCCCCCCCCCACGGTAAGAAAATGTGCGCTGTGCCAGCCTGTTGTTCCCGTTTGCGGATTCCCCCCCCCCCCCCCCCCCCGTGCCCCCCCCCCCCCCCCCTCTTCCCGCAAGAGACAGAAAGGAAATGAAGCAAACCTCGGCCAGTCGGTCGAACCGGGCGAAGAGCTCGTTGAGGATCTGCACCAGCTCCGACGCGGAGTAGGTGGAGGAAATGGCCGTGAAGCCCACGATGTCCGCGAACAGGATGCTGGAAAAGGGAAACAGCTACAGGATGCTGGAGAAGGAAATCATCTACAGGATGCCGGAAACGAAAAGGGAAACGTGTTTCGTCTCGTCTGTCCAAACGCGAGCGAGATCGTGCCGAAGCCCGAGGATCGCAGGCTCGAGAAACCCTTCCAAATAAATAATGAAAACCGAAAGAAAACTTTTGTCATTTAAGGACTGGACCGAGCCGGGGGAGTGGCACACGGAAGGGCAGAAAATGCCGCTCGGCGGGTGATGGATGGCCGCTGGATGGCCGCTGGATGGCCGCTGGATCCATCGAGAATCGCGTAGTTCCCCGGATCATCCATCTTTCACTATCAAATGCTCCTTAAGGATGATCGCAGGCGATAAAACCAAAGTTTAGAAAAGGCAGGCTTTCCACCCCTGTGTGCGGAGGGGGAGGGGGGGGGGCCTTTAAGACCTTGAAGACCGCAGTGAAGGTCGAACCAGGGTGAAGTGTCCCCGAGTAAACAGTCCCGCCAAATTGAGTCTCCTGAGGTTACTTGCATCTCGGAACGGCTCGCATTTCGGAGTCAAGATTCATGGGGCAACAGTTTCATCTGCCTGGTAATATAATATCGTATCTTATCATATATCATATCGTATCGTATCGTGTGGCATGGTATTGCGTCGTATCGTGACGTACTACGACGCGAGTTTCACAAATTCGTTTGGACGCTGAAAAAAAAAGGTAACTTCGGGGAATCCTCGCGGGGGAAGGTGCAACGTCGCACGAAGAGGGAAAGCTGTATTAATAAATAGCCCGTAAATAGCATTCCTTAATGCTATTTCCGAGACACACGATCTGGTGTGACTCTTCCGTGAAAAGTGCGAGACAGATGCGAGTCACACGCCTCGTGCCCAAGATCCGCGCCGCTCGTTCCGGAATCCCCGTATTTCCGGGAGACACCTGAAGCGAGCCAAATTTCACTCGGAAAAATGGTAAACTTCGCAATTTTAAACTTCCCACTCGATGCCTGATGGTTTCCAAATTCCGGGCGTAAAAAAAAAAGAATCTCTGAGAGGCTTTAAAGAGAATATATCTTCCGTTAAATTGCCTCTCGATCGACCCGGGAACCGATCCCCGCGAGATTTCTCGCATTCCGATCGCAAGTTCCATGACGAACGGCGGAATTCTTTCCGGCTCTTCGATTCGGTTCGCGTGATGGATGAGACCGCATTTCGAGGCAGATGTTCACCCCCCCCCCCCCTTCCTTTCCCCCCCCCCCCCCCCCACCCCTTCCCCCGGGGGGATTTTGGGATGAACTCGAATGGATTTTCCCCGTTGCTCGGATCGGGAATGACAGATATGGGGGAAAACTTGTTTCTCTGCCGGATCGATGCCACGCTTCGCCGCTTCGTCATTCCAACGAGGAAAATCCGTGCCCGCATAACTCGTTTGTATCTGGGGGATCGATGGCGGGGTTCGCGCAATGCCGTGTCGACTCGCGGGAATCGCGCGATGCCGTGTTTCCTGGTGAGTCACGGCTCGAAGTCCGTGCCTTCGTCGACGTTTCCATTAATCGTCATTCGTAGCTAAGAGGAATGACACGGAAACGAGTATCGAATGATATCGCGACATGACGAGCTGAGAATCGCGAATCGGAATTTCCAAGTTGATTACACACTTTGGCCTTCGACGCGTAACGACCCCGGAACACGAGAGAACGGCATCGATAAGACACGCTTCATCCGACTCACCCGACCGATCGAAGGCCGTGCAATGTTGAAGGCCGTGCAATGTCGAAGGCCGTGCAATTTTCATCGCGAAACGTTTCAGCGCGACCGGCGACGAACGGCAAGAGGACCGAGCGAAATCGTTTCTGAATCTCATGCCCGGCTGCTTGTAATATCATGGGATCCTCACTTTATTGGGGGAGAGAAAGCCGGGGAGTGGAGTGGGGCAGGGGGGGGAGGGGGCAAGAAGGGGGGCGGGGAGGAATCGATAGAAAAAGACAAGAGGAAGAAAATGCGCTACTTTCCTTTTCTCTCGCTCTTCTATTCGATCAATTCGGCTCGGGTTGCTTTGATGCGGCCACCTTTCCAGTGTGCTTTCCAGTTTCTTTCCTCCCTTTTGTTCTCCGAGCGGGAAAGTTTTCTTTCCTCGGATGGGGAAGCGAGGGGCCGGAGAGGAGACTTTTTGCGATTCGATCGACTCGATGAGGTGGCCATCACCTTCCCCGATTTTTTTCGCGAAAATTGCACGGTTTTTCCACTGCGCATCGGAATGCGAACGTGCGCCGGCTTCGCGTGTCGTGCACGAGTGTTTTTGGCCGTCTCGTCGTCGCGCCGCGCACGAGCGCTCGTTCGCGGGTTCACCCCTTCGTGTCGGCCTCGCTTACCTGACGTTCTCGTGCCGGCTCATGTAGATGGTCTTGAACTGGGATGGCTCCTCGCCCTTCTCCATGTCCCGCCGCATGTCCGCCGCCACGTGCTCCGGCAACACCGACAGCAGGAGCCTCTCCTGAAACGACGACAGCGTTCGGGGATGAAGGGCGGTCGAGACGATCGGGGACGAAGGGCGGTCGAGACGATCGGAGACTGACGGTTGCAACGATCGGGCGGGAATGAAGGACGGTTGCGACAACGTCCAGAGATGGAAGAAGAGCCTAGTTTGGCTTCCTTCCTTCCGGCGGGTGGTTCTTCGTGCCACCAGAACAATTGATTGATATCGAGATGGCGTTTCATTAGTCCCGTGATTGATCGTTAGAGGGTTTCCTTTTCATTACCGTACGACGTTGCGACGCCCTTCTCCCGACGTCGATTATCTTCGCGAAAGACGTTTCGAATAAACAACGAGGGGTACGAAATACAGACGCTTTTGAGGCTTGAAAAATGCAATATCGAATAGAACACGAAATCTAATTAAAGTAAATCGAGAATAAAAAGCTTTTTAGTCCCTTCTTTCCTCTCCCCCTTTAAGGTAGCCTCATAGAACCTCCTCGTAAACGATTCCTCACCTCCGATCCGTCCCATCGTTCTAGAGGTTTCCTAATCCCGATGGCGAATGGAACGATAATGAAGAGGAGTGCACGGTGTGTCGTCCGGGAGGCTACCATCATCACCATCCATCAGCCTGATGATCCTCCGAGCCACTATTTACCCTCATCCTCGAATATCCCCGGATCCCCCAGGTGCATGAGCCTCGTGATCATCCTCCTTTTTTTTGTTACTCTCGGGTCCCCTCTGCTACTCTCCACCACGCCCTGATCACAGGCTCCCTCGTCGGGGCCCGACGTCTCGATTCCCTTCATGACGTCGACCCGTCGGGTGGATTCGGGGCGCAAGGGTCATCTTGGCAGCGCATGTATTTTGACGGGAGAACTATAACTTGTAGTCCTTAGTCGATGTATCTAAAATTTGAGGTCCAAAAAACTGGTATCTTTGTGCGCGTGAATTCCTGACAAACTGCTCGTTTTGAAGTACCACAAAAACGGAAAATGCAATGCACGTCTCCCTTTGTACATTTACTTGCTCCAAATACATGGCACGACTGTATTTTTGAAAGTACTTTAAAACATGGGATGTCAGCCGTCAATGTCTTCGATGACGAATGGCACCCACGAACAGCCGTCGGTAGCAAATAGTACTCATCGCCCTATTACTTTCAACCCCTAGTTGTGAGAGGAAACAGAACACATTGACGTGAGCCTACGGTGAGAAGTCTAACGGACATAAATCCGGTGAATTTCGGGCCATGAGTCAGGCTCGATTAATGCCGGCACGCATTCTCGAAGGAATCGGACCGTTGAATGAACACTAGACAGTCTAGGTAAGTCCTACGACTTCACGTGGAGAAGTTCTTCGCACTGGCGACGGACGAGGTAATAATATACGTGTGTAAGGGGTGGATGGGGCTGGGGTCATTGTGGCGAATGTGTATGGGGTACTTTTGGCAAGCGCTTCTAATCTGGCCCTCTTTTTTTCACAGTGTGTTTCATAAAATGGGGTGAAACAAAGAAAGAGAGATAAACCGAGAGGAGCGAGTGTTTACTCTCCACAATCTAAATGAGGCGGTGCAATCAGTTCGTGAGAGGAAAGTTTTCTGGGATAATACCTCAACATTCCACTTCCAGGATCTCAAATAGAAATGGATCGCTGGAGGGAAGAAATTCATTGGAAAGAAAGTGCTGGAGGGGAAGGGGAGGAAAGAAGGTAAACCTTTAAAATAAATAAAGAAGTAAATAAATAAATAAGTGGCAAGAAAGGGAAGATCGTGGGGCTTGGACTAACTAAGAGATTTTTCGGATCTCGTGCAAGATGCAGCGAAGAACGTTCTGACTAAATTTCGAGATGACAGACGAGGGAAGAGCGGTGACATTTGGTGACAGGCTCACCCAATGATGACAGGTGCCCTGCGATTAAATCGAGTGCGAGCTACTCCATTCGGAGATGGTGGTCGAACTCCTCGAGTCCAATAGTGCGAAACGATGAACAACGTGGATCAACAAGGATCTAAGTATAAAACTTCGAAGCACTGCGCCACAAAGACCCTAAGTTCAGCCTGTTCAGCCTATACATAGGCTATATATAGGCTCATGCGTAACTCCCCAAGTAACACAGTATGTCGATGAAACGTTTCCGAAATGTTGCCTATGTTGCAAGTTGATGTACAACGCTGATAAAACATTGCTTCAACGTTTTCCGCTTGGAATGTTGCTGCGACACTTCTACGAATGTTATTGCAACATTTGCTATCGACATCGAGAGAATGTTGACACTCTTGACATCGGCAACGTAGCGACAACATTCCGATTCGACATGGACTTAGCAGTTTTACGGAATTGTAAAGTCGTTCTCCTTGCCACGAGAATCGAAAAGAGAATTGTAAAGTTGGCGTGAGTCTCGATTTTCCCACAGTACACGAAAGTGCCCTTTTCCCATTCCCTGGAATCGTCCCGCACAGGAATGTTAAGTGCCTTGCCATCGTCTCATCATAGGAATCAATGAACTCGGACACTTCATCACTTGTTATCCTCATATTCGAGGCAGATTCATGGGGCCAAGATAAAAAAAACAAGCTCATATTTCCCAAAAGAACCCTTTCCAAGAACTCGTCGATTACATCCTACAGGATATTAAAAGCGATGATAGAGAGAGTCTGAGAACTGAATCTCTTTCATTTCCTCATCCTGAGAACAAGATGAGGAAAAGGACCGAACTCGTGGACACTCCGTAGAACATTGCGGGTGGACCTTTTCCTGAAATGTGCCTTATTTAGCACATCCAGGGGAAGATTACCTCCAAAAATGTACCATGTCTCCTGCCTGTACATGATACAGATACTGCATATTGCAAGGGTAGGGATTATTCCGGTACAGGCTTCGCCCTGTTGATGGGAACGTCTGGGTAGAGGGGTCAAGTACATGGTACGAAGTGTTGAAAGAAATAATTCAATAATGGCAGAATATGGGTCCAGTTCATGGCCAGTGAAGCCTATGCTTTTCCGGGTGGTAATGCCAATATAGGTTCGGATTAGGGGCCAGTGAAGCAACGTTTTCCATCAACGTTGCAGCAAAGTAAGTCTCGAAACGTTGCTGCAACGTATATGTAATTAATAAGTAACGATTTGCAACGTCAATGCAATGTTCTTTCACAACATTTGAGCAACGTTGACGTTTTGGACATTTTTACACATAGAAGCAACATTGTTCATCAACGTTTCCTAAACGTCGCTGGAATATCTTGCGTTACTCGGATCGATATCGCTGAACACCGAGATCGGCTCTGACCGGATGGCACTCGTCTGGGGCTCCTGGTCGGAGCAACATTTCCCAATTTTCCTTTAAAACCGAGTCTTATCATGAGATGGATTCAATGGACTCGTATGAGGTAATCTGCTTTATGGGAAAATGGAACACGAGCCACTGCCCAAGGCCCCACAGAAACCGCTCGAACATCCGTTTCATCGAAACTCAGAGTTGCTTGGGATTCCGGGCCCCCTCGCTCCTCCTCACTCCTCCTCGCTCCTCCTCACTCTTCCACTCCCTCTTTTATGGGGGATACGGGACCAGGGAGGAGGCGAATTCAATCCCATTGCATCGATTGCCATTATGAAAGATTGGGATTAGAGGCTTGCCGGGGCCGGCTTATAATCAGTTTCCGTCTAATCAAAATCCCATTCAAAGGTATACATCATATTCGTGAATAGGTTTCTGATTCCTTTGTGAATTCTGCGATTCTCCCTTTCCTCCGCCCATTCAAGTCCAATCATGATATGGAAAATGCAGTCGTAAAGTGGATTCAAACGAAGCCAGAGGACGAATTCCGAGCATGGTTCAAGACATGCTATTTCGTGGAAATACCATCGTCAGCACTTTCACTCGGCCCAATTCGGCCCAATTCCAGCGTTTCTGCGTTTTATTTAAACATTGTGTTCGCGTGGACGGCCGGTTGTCATTCCCGTAGGAATCGAGATTTAAAGGAGAAATTAAGAACCCGTGTGTCTCGAAGGTCGTCGAGCTTCGACAGAAATGACCTTAAATTCTCATTTCTGTCTCGAAAATGGGGTGATAGAAGGGAAAGACGAGGAAAAACGAGGAAAGGCGGATCCCCCCGTAATGAACTCGCCGTACCGAGAGAGAGAGAGAAAAGCTCGTCGGAGTCCATCGCCTTGACAAAGCCGACGGCCCGCCTCCCAAGACACGTACCGCCTTTTTTCGTTCGGATGGCTTATGAGAAGCGATTTCCCTCATCCGAGTCGACTTGAGGGAATTGAGGTGCGTCGGGGGCCATCGATCTTTCCCGTGATGGTCCCGAAAAATTCCATCAGCTTCAGGGCATGGGCGCGTAAAACTAGAACCTGGGCCTTTTTCGTCGAGGCCCGATCGAGGGGCTTAACGATCGGCCGAGGAAGAATGGCTCGGGAAATGCGATGTCGATATTTTCCTCGCGGAACGGCCGAACGAGACAAACAGAATAGACGTCTGCGATATTTTCGCTGTTTTTTTTTTCTCTTCTAAAGGCCCAGTAAAAAAAAAAAAAAAAAAAAAAACAAACCACCCCGCTCATGAATATGCATCCTCCCCCCCCCCCTCTCCCGCCCCCCCCTCCCCCCCCCCCCCCCCCCCCTCTTCCCCACACGCAAACTTTCTACCCCTGCCTCCAATCCTTGAATGGTGCGTCCAGGTAGGAAACACAAAGTATCCTGTATCCATTTGACTAAGTGCTCTATCCCTCACGCTCGACCGATTTGAACGCTGATCGAGTCTGACACTCCTCTATTATGCGAATCCACGCATTCGGAGAAACCATTCCGAGGGTCCTCGCCTTGCATTATTCAGGGGTGTCGTCGAGGCATGAACGGACCGCGGCGTCACCGATCTCGCCCATCGTCTCCGTCCTCGGTGCAACGGCATCGATTCCATCGATCGCCTTCGCCCTTCTGGGTTCGCTTCCGTGCGATTTAGATCTCCAAAATCCTGGAAGCGGTCTTCCGCCGCTCGGCCAGTCGCGAACTCGGCTCGGGCTTCTGCGAGGTTCGCAGGAGAAAGTCGTCAAGAACTTACAACGAATGCGGTATATTCTTCGCGGTCGTCGGAGAACAATAAGCGATATCAGACATAAACGAGAACTCATCGTTCCCCTTTGGAAATAGATCGGGAATGCCGATATCTCTCATTCGAAATGCACCATTCAAACACCAAAGTAGTACTACGTGGCTCGAACGGAACTATCTACAGAACGCAATGAATTATGCACGAGCTCGGTTGTGACGGACGAACGGGTAGCGACTGCATGAATGCAAACAGGGCCAACCGGGTCGAGAAACCGGGATTCGAAATAAACGGAGACAGGGGAACAAACAGCGAAGACGAACGACCTGACGACTTCATACAATTTTCATATCCTCGATGGATGGGTCTTCTTCCCGGGACAGACTTCCATTATGTGGCATGGGGAAGGACGGGATCGAGACTCCTGGGGGAATAGATCGAGACCAGTGGGGGAGTGGATCGAGACTCGTGAGGAAATAGATGGAGGCTCGCGAGGGAAGGCATCGAGACTCTCGAAGGGATCGAAACCCTTGAAGAGAGGGATCAGGACGTGTGAATGGGGAGCGGGTTCGAGCCCGATCCTTGTCCCAATAATCGAATATTTTCTCTTTACAAATCGCCTTGCTTTTACTTAAGAGAATGCGAGAGAGAAGCCAGGGCGAAAAAAAAAAAACGCTTCTCCCCGTGAATAGAGAGAAAGACTTGCATGAATTATTCAACGCCTTCACACCAGACGAGGGAAAAGGGAAAAAGCAAACGGGGAAAAACACCGGGGGCTTTTCTCTGCTCTTTGTCTGGTCTGTTAAGAGGGCTGAGATTTCATTTCGGAGGCCGCCTTTTCGGGGGGGGGGGGAGACAAAATGGATCTCTTTTACCTGAAAGCTCTTCTGGGGATAATGGCTCCAGACTTCTCTTCCCGATCCTGTCCCCCCAGAGACGAGGCCAGGAGAATGACTTTTTCGCTGGGACGAGCGAGTCATTACCTCAGCAATCCGCAGGGATGAAAGCAAATTACGACTTCCCCCTCCCACTGAATGAATGAATGCTTGTTGTCGGCCAGAAATGATAAATATTTTCGGAAATATCATTCGAGTCGAAATCGCGATAGAAGTCGCTGTTACGAACCTGAATGCAGCAATAAAATTAAAAGCTCGAGAATTTGAGTCCATTCGCAACCTAGGAATTTCACGAACACGAAAGCGAAATCCCAAGTCCCTGGGAAAGAGAACATACCTGCTTCCGAGTTTGTTCCTCGATGACCAGCTTGACCTCGAGCGCCTGCCGGGTCTCGAGGAAGGCCTTCCGCTGTCGGTTGATGATCCACGCCTCCAGTCCCGTCCCGAGGAAGCAGCTGCAGCCCACCAACAGCAACACGGCCGGCACCTGTCATTACAGTTTTCGCTTTTTGGTGGTTTCGTTTCGGGTCTCTTTTACTCGGTTATTGCGATTCTAAGGATGGCTTTTTTTTATTATTCGAATTCTATGGGTGGCATTTTTTTCCCCGAACCCCATATATTTCTCTCTGAAGTCCCGTTTCCCATCTAGTGAGCCCATTTGGTCTCTCCGGACGGTCCCTTTCTAAAAATGAAAATTCATACGAAAAAGGAAGAGGGAGGAGAAAGAAAGGATCCCATGCGGGACGAGATGGAATGAACTACTTTTTTTTCCATTAAAGTGCACGTGATCCATATTCATGAGGGAGGAGCGGCAGTCATTGATTACTGCGGCTCATGCAATTCATCCCCTTCACCATCGAACTCGAGTCACTCCCCCCCCCCTGCAAAACCCTCCAGGGATGTCAAAAAAAAAATAGACTCAAACTTGAGCAAAGAAAATAAAACTCTCAAACAAGGTCGCCTATTCTGGCACCAGGCATTCCAAGAGGGAAAGGGGGGGGGGGGAGTGGTGTGAGGAAAGAAAAGAAAGCAAGAATACGGCAGAAAGAGGGAAGGAAAAAGGGCAGTAGCTGGCTGACACATCCAGCTGACACGCAAGATCTCATCGACCGCCTCCCCTCCCCCCCACGGGAGGTCCACAATCAAAGCGAGAGAGAGTCTCCCCCGGCATCAAAGGAGGAAGCCCCACCGAGATCGGAACGAGATTTAATCTCGGTACAATGCGCCACCCAGGTCGTCTCGAGAAAGGAAACAGGTGGAGACACGGCCTGGCTCTTACATTTTGCGATCGAGTCCCAAAATAGAGCAACACGTAGGTCGATGACACCTCTTGCAGTTTTCATCTGTCGGCAGCACGTGGAAATAATTTAGGTCGAAGTTTTATGTCAGGATTTTGGGTTGAACTCGATGGGATCAAGGAAGAAAGGGAAAGGACTTCGCTCCTTCCGTGACTCCCATTTCTTTCCGGGCCGTCGAAGATGGATCGCGATGGACGTGCGCAAGGTTCGTGCGCTAATAGTCAAAAGGAGCTTAAAGGCTTTGATGAGGATCGTGGAGATGCAGAATGATCGAAAACAATTACTGGGAAGTTGATCGGTGACTCTTTGGACTTTCCGTTCAAAATAATGCTAGGAGAAAATGGCCGCTGCTGCAAATTCTTCGAGAACCGTTTGATTTTGAAGAATTCTTTGAGAATTCTTCAAAATCAAACGTAACTGTAAGGTATCGCGTTATCTACTCCAGATAACTCCATAAAAACAAGTTAGTTACAAAATTAGAGCTTGTAATAATTGGTGGCTCGGGGGAGGGGGAGGGGGCAAGGACATAGCCAGGATTTCCCCAATAGGTGGAGAGATGGAGGCTGGAATTTTCCAAGCTTCCCCTTATAACATGGCCAGAAACGACTTCCGGGGTGGGAGGGGGGTGGGGGAGGGGGGAGGGAGAGATAGGATGATGCAATCATCGTAGACCTGATTGGGAGGACCAGAAGCAAACTTCTTGGGGCTGGAGGAGACAACCCCTGGCGATTCATCAAGTCTTGTACATTTTTTAAATAATAAATCCTGTCCTTGAGGTTTACTTCCTACGTAGTATTAATACTTCCTCTTCTTTTTCGTCCTCTCCCCGGCTCAGTTACTCTCCTCTTCCTCCTCCTCCTCTCCCCCTCGTCCTCCTTTCCCCCTCCTCCTTAACCCCTTTCTTCTTTCCCCACCTCCCACAATCCATCCTTGGTATTAAGTCATCGGAAGAGATAGATAATGCAATTGCATAAATGTGCATTTCCTGGAGGAGAATCGTCATTCCACATTAAAGGGTTTAATAAAGCAGTGGGTCTCAGCCTTCTATCTCACGATCCACCGAGTCTGATTCTCATATTTAGTTGGCATTTATGGCATTTAGTTGGCTTTATGAACAGGCATAAATAAAGCAGTCCCGAGAGTCGAAGACAAATCTGCGAACGAGCAGAAACACGTGCTCGCGAGATGGCGCAGAATCGGGCACGAAGGAAAAACTAAACTTTAAGCCCGAAAACTTGCAGTGTTCACCGCTTCTTCATCATGCCAACGGAAACCAGCGGGAGAGACGAATGATTTAAAGAGCTGTGTAGAGATGGATATTGGTGTACAGGAAGACGAATAAAATGACTTTCTGTTCACTTTCTGGAAATTCACAAAGAATGCACTGTTCTCGAAAATGCGCAGCCCCGACTCCGAAAGGGAACCACCACCGATCTCAGCCTCCCCCGAAACCGTTCGATCGCTGAGAAAAAAAACCCAACGAGGCGAAAAACGAACAGACACCGCCGACGGAATTCCGACACCGGACCCGAACGTGCAACGTCCCTCTCCCCCTGGCACTCCAACTCGCTGAATCGAATTCTTCCCCTCCGATTCATCGAGTTCTGCTCGGCTGGGACGAATGCCGCTGACAACCGACGGAGTGTTTACCTTCGCGTCCGGATGACGTTCATATTGTTCCGGCTCCTTCCAACTCCTTCCAGCCTGTCGTATCGGAGTTCCACAGCTCCGGACGCATTCGGATCGGACGAAGGGACAAGTTGACACTGCGCTCGAGCATCGAAATGAACCTGCTTCCGGATGGTTTCTAATTCACTTTCGGCATTCTGGGAGCGAAGAGTGTCGGTGAAAAATTAGTGGAAGAAGTGATGAGAAATTTGAAATAAAAAATTTGAACTTTATTTTGTACTCGGCATGCTTGCAGAAAATGCTTCCGATCTGGTAGCTGTTTACTCTGTTGATTATTATCGTGATGATCTGAGAAGAAGGGGCTTCTCGAGAACCGAAACTCAATTTCCAGCAAGAAATATCTCCAATAATCTATAACATAAATAGGAAATTAAAAGTTGAAATGACCCTCGTGGATGACCGGCTGAACACAATCGTATTCCAGTCCAAAATTCGTCCGAAATTTATCCACGTTTCATCCGAGATGCATCCCAATTTTATTTTCGTAGAAGGAATTACTGGGATTTAAAACATTTAATATTTGTTTGTTTGCTCCTCCTTTGCATTCCTCCTTCGGCTTCTCATCTGGATTCCGAGAGTGGCACTTTCAGGAAATTTCATTTCAAATTCACTTGCAATGGGACGTGGGTTTCTCGCTTCTCTCTCTCTCTCTCACTCTCTCTCTCTTTTTCTCCCTCTCTCCCTCTCTTCCTCATACTTAATTGATCTCCTCGCAACCCACCGAGAGGGAAAAGCAACTTTGGTCGTGACTTTTGAAGCGCCTGTCACAACTGATATTTGGCAGAAAGATTGATGGTTCTATAAGGTTCTCTAGCGTGCCCGTCGGTCGGCGGTGCATGTCGATAGGGGGCGCTCTCGTCGCATATGCAGAGGTAAACATAAAATAAGAAATATCAAAATAAAATTACTTGTGGCATTTCCAACGCTCTCGGCAACATGTCTAAGCCCACGATGCAGGGAAGTGTCCCATTAACTTATTATCAGAATGGTACCAGAATGGAGGCTCGGTAACTGTGAATATTTGCTATTTGCCTGTCCTGGAATATGTAATAAGAGATGAATTCCTGCCATTCCAGTGACTGCAATCGATTCAAAGTTGTGCACAGGTTGCATGCAGCTATGGAAATATATTGCGATCACTTGAAACTCTTTTGCTGTTCCAAAACTGTTGTGCCAGTCTTTTATACCCGACGCAAATGCGACCATGCGACCTACCCTCAAGTATCGCCATCTGGAGGATTTGGAATAAAACTTTTGAGGCTCGTCAACATCTCTGCCAAATATCAGATGCATCCAGCTGTCCTATCAAAGGTCACAAAGTCATTTATAACAACCCTGTATATCAGGAAGATAAAGAAAATGAAGAGCGAATCCCCCAATGAATTCCTTTTGGGAGCAAAAAACCCTATTGGATAAATGCCACGAGATGGTTGTTGGCGAGAGAGTGAGGAAAAGAAGTCGCGTCGTAAGGAGAAAAACTAGAGACAGGGGGAAAAGGTGGGGAAAGGGGGGAGGAGGAGGACGGAAGAGGGTAGGGGAAGGAGGGAAAGGGGGGAGGAGGGAAGGGGGAGAGGAGGGAAGGGACAGGAAAAAGGAAAGTCAATCGGGGAAATAAGCTTCTACCGTTCTCAACATGTCATGAATCTCTAGGGGGTCTCTGAGCTCGGGCAAGTTAGAAACAAATGTCTCCATGAATCATGGCTCCCCTCCCCCCCAGCCCCCCATCCCCCCCCAATCCCTTCCTCCCCGCCTCAGCCTCCATATCCTTCGGATCCACAAACTTTTACAACCTCTAAGTTGATATGAAGAACTGGTCGATATGAAGTTATCTTGAGTAGATAACGCAATTCATTACAGTCGTGATTGATTTTGTGGGGGGGTTATTGTTATACCCTTTACAGCACGGACCACTTTGTCCTGTTTCTCGTTCGGGACCGGAATGTCAGGGACCGTTTCGTCCAAGACCATATCATTCGGGGCCATTTCGTCCAGGATCATATTATTTGGGGACCATAATGCATTCGCGACGGGATCTGATAAGATTCCTTTAGGCTCACGAGAGCCATGAACTATTCTATTCAAAGAACTATCTGATTGGAAAGAAAGTTCTCGGAATTTCTTGAATATCCAGTACAATTTTTTTTCCAGAGCATGCTAGAATGTTCTGCATGTGTTTATAAGTAGGTCGTGTCCTTCGGCATACAACCGTATATTATTACAGCCCTGGTGCTCTCCAGCCATGAACCAGCCCTACCCTCTTACTAAGGAGCAAGTTCGCCTGCTTCTTCTTTATGACTTCCGAATCGAGAAGAAGGCAGCCAATTCCATCGCTGACATCAATACCGCGTTTGGCCCGGACACTGTGTCCAAGAGCACTGCCTATGATTGGTACAGTCGCTTCCAGAAAGGAAATGAAAGCCTGGAAGACCAGCCACGCACCGGTCGTCCTTCGGAGTTTGATAACTCTGCCTTGCAGGAGGCACTGGAGGCCAACAACCGGCAAACATCGCGAGAGCTTGCGGACTTGCTGGGTGTCTCCCATACAACTATCCTTCATCATCTGGCTGAGCTTGGCAAGAAGGCAAAGTTGGGGTGCTGGGTACCCCACAAGCTGGANCACAAACTCTTTGGTCTCCCCTTTACTTAATTATCCTTTCACACAAAATTTGGAGATCCTTTCGACAGTAGTCCATGCTTAACTCCATCGTCCCCTTTGGTGATTTCTGCGTGTGTCAAATGCTTTAGAATGTAGTGCACAAGTAATGCACCTTCAGATGTTTATTAGATGATTCTAATAAACATCTAAAGGTGCATTACTTGTAAACTAATCAAAAACAAAATTCCTTAAATACCTTCTCATCCCCAGTCCGTGAACTCTAGAAGTTTCCCAACATTTATTTGGGAATTAGAGACTGCATACATTCCGAAGAAATTTCAAGTAGCCATGCAGGTTCAAACTGCCAAGTGCCATTACAAGCAGCAAAAGTGATAAATATGACAAGTTCCGGGTATTTCAACGAATGATCTGAAGCTTAAGCCCCCTAAAAACCTGCAATGCATAGACCCCAAGGATGAATATGGAATAAATTTCCTCTAGGAAGCAAAAACTACGTTCATTCTCTACCAAGTGCATGGTGTGGGGTGTGGACCGATATATAGAGAGGTCTAATCGCTTAAGGATTTTAAACCTGAGGCTTTTTCCCCTTACAAATATTATAAATGCGTACATCATGCTTTCGCTTGACGCCGACAGAAAAATAAAAAAGGACGCCTGCTCACCAAATCGGAGTAGTTTAGTCCGTGAGAATACTGATGAGTGAAGGGGATAATAGAAAGGGCATTGGGTACAACGGAGCTCTACATATTTAGACGGATTTGGAACGATGACTAGACTGGATCAGACAGGACTGATTTGATGAGCTCAAGTCTCGAGAGACCTGTCTCCTTTGCAGTGGCTTTGAAGTATATGCGCTACTCTGCGAATCAGACGACTGGTCCTGGCCACAGATGGGGAAAGCGGAGGAGGTTCATGTCGGAGGTGGGACTCTCGCTTTGTATGAAGGCACAAAAAAGCGAGTCGTTGAAAACTCGAGACGTAAAGGAGGGATAAGGAATCATTTTGGTCTCATCTCAAGTAACACGGGAAGTTGTGAGAACGTTTCCGAAATGTTGCCAATGTATGCTGCAAGCTAAACATCGACGAAACATCGCTTCGACGTTTTTCACTTTTAAGCACTTGGAAAGTTGCTGAGACCCTTCTACGAACGTTACTGCAACACTTGCTATCAACGATTAAATAATATTGGCACTGTAGACAGCGACAACGTGACGACAACATTCTGATACAAAACGCAGTTGGGAGTTTTAAGGAATTGCCAAGTTCTCCTTCGGGCCACTAGAGAGAGGTACGGGTCTCGCTTTTCTCACAGTACACAGAAATGCATTTCTCCCTTTCCCTATTTCGTACCTTCCCGTATGTCTCGCCTTGCCTCGTTATAGGAATCAATTAACACGGACACTTCCTCATTTGTTATCCCCATATTCGAGACAGATTCACGGAGCCCAGGCCAAAAACAACCTCGTATTTCATAGAAGAACCCCTTCCAAGAACTAGACAGTTTTATCCCGCCGAAAACGAAGAACAATAAGATTCTGTCAACTCGGTTCATCTATTTCATCCCCTGAGAGCGGGATGGAGATGGAAGAATTCGCGGACATTTTGAGTGGACCATTCCCTGAAATGTGCCATACATAGCACATTAAGGGGAAGAATAAGTCCCAAAATATGCTATATCTCCCGTCTATCCATGTTTCAATTACTGCATTAAACATGACCAGGGGTTATACTATTACAGGCTTCGTCCTGTCGACGGGAACGTCTCCACCATCACTGGGTAAGAAATTAAAGCACACTATATTGCCGAAAGTATCGGGACAAGCTCCCATCCGCCCATAACAGATTGTCCCACAGGTCATGTGGTAGAGGGCATGACTGCTGGCTGGCTGTCCAAAAGTATATAACGGTTGTCTGGAATCAGTTACGGTCGGTGTTTGCCAGCTGATGGAGTTTGAACACGGAATGAGAGTTGCTTGTCATATCGTCCTCTGTCCCGATGCTTTTGGCAACGTAGTGCATATGGTAATGATGAATGAAATAATTCAATGTTGGCATGAATATCGGTCCAGTTCGGGGCCAACGAAGCCTATGCTCTTCCGTGTCGTAATGCCAGGTCCAGATGAAGTGCCGGTGAGGCAACGTTCTCCATCAGCATTGCAGCAAGTTCAACAGTCCCGAAACGTTGCTGCAACATGTACGTAACGATCTGCAACGTCAATGCAATGTTCTTTGGCAACAATGGAGCAACGTTGGGGTTTTGGACCTTTACGCTTCGAGTCAACATCGTTCAACGACTTTATTAAAATGTTACTTTGGATCTCTCTGAATTAGGTTTCATTGCAGGGCATTGGTCTTCACAATTGAGTTCAGTAGGAAAAATATTTATTGAATTCAGTAATTTAAAAAAATATTGGCACTATGTGACGATGTCCACTTAACCCCTTGAACGACGTCTTCAAATTGACGCAAATTCTGAGTAAATATCCTCGAGCGACCCCAATTAACCCAAAGCGACCGAGAGCAACCGTAATTGACCTGACACATACTGAGGCTAATTATCCTCAAGCAACGGTTCTCGACTTTTCTTAGCAACGGCACACTGGAGTTACTTGACAATTTAAACTGACCACTAAAATGAGGAAAACCAGGACCCATAAGATTCATTCGTGGAAGTTTCAATTTGAACAGTCACTCAGCACGACAATAAATGTAATACTAGCTTGAATTCTTCTTTTTTTTTTAAATATATATATACAGTATTTGGCTTGGAAGCGACACCTGTTGTTTCTGGTTCCACATCGATACAGCTTAATGTTAAAAGCGACCTCAAGGAGCCAGCTGGCATTGTTTAGACGGGACCTCAACCTAGCTTTATTTTTTATTTATTTTTTCCAATAATACGAGGCAAAAGCAATCTGAATCTTATAGCAACAAACATTTATGTTTCCTAGATTGACGTTTTCTTAATAAAAGCACACGAGAAGTTCCCAACAGACTTCTGATCCAGATTGACTCCGATTGCGTTCTCTCGGCACACAACCTCATCAAGAGAAGTCACGATCGCGAAACTCTGAAACTTGCCGAGTCCTTTCGTTCCCCTCCTCGCTCCACGAAGGCCTCCATGAGGGGCTCCATGAGGAGCTCCACGAAGGCCTCGAATCCACCTCCTACCCTCCTCGCCCTCCTTTGGCGACGGGCCAAGAAGAAGCAGGCAGCACGGCACCCAGGGGTGCAGTGCTCCCTGTTTTTTCTTCATGAATGAGAACCGCTGTCCTGGAGTGACTTGAGTATCTAAAATTGACTCCGGGTGACCCAGGGCGACCCAGGGCCACCCAGGGCCACCCAAATTATTCCGACCACTGAGATGAAGTACTCTCCTTTTTTTTCATCTCATGTGTGTTAGGACGATCACGGGTGGTTCGATTTTGGTCTCTCTCTTTGAGATTTATTTATTTATTCATTTTATAATTTAGGTTACTTTTATATAATTGGGCCCAAGTTAGAACGATGGATCAATTTGAGCCTCTCCAGGATAATTATCCCGAAGCCGTGTCCATGAGCTAATGTGAGATACTTATGGTGAATTAGGGCCACTTTAGACCAATTATGCCATCAAGACGACCTTGGCCATCACAGTGCCAATTGCAATCGCCGAACGAGCCACGGCTGGATCCCCAGGAACGAATTCCAACTTTTGTCGCACCCTGTAGACGACGATTACAGGCACCTGGAGATGGGGGACGGCACGGAACAGATGTGCCAAATGCGCCGTAACCAAAAAAGCCATCCGGCATTTTCTTTCTCAGTACGGAAGAAAATCGGAATTTCATTTAATATAAATGCCATTTTTATTTATTCTTTAGCTGTTGCTCCACTTCCTCGCTTTTTTTGTTTTACGTTGAAGTGGGTTGAAACCGATGCGGTTCAACTCCGACAGTCCCCTTTCCCCCTTTTCCCCCCAAATGAGAAAAACATGGAGCTGAAGCCTGCGATGGCGAAAAGATTTGCCCCAATCTTGCTCGACGGAATCTGGGGAAATTTTTCATCCTGCGAATCGGTCGGTGAAACACCCGAAGAACGAAGCTTCCTATTATCTTCAATAAGTTTTAACTTTTCTTCATTGATAATAATTACATTCGCATTGGAAAAACTCGGGCATCTTCGAGTTCCGCACCGTATTTCTATCCCTCCAGTTGCATCGTGACTTAAATTTCCTTGCCACGCTCGATGAGTCCACACTCTCGACCGCTAAAAATTTATCTCGCTAAAAAATCTCGCTAAAAATTTCTGCCATCTCTTTCAACGTCGACGTGGCCTATTATGTTTGCGTTTCTCGGACCTCGTCCACACGAGAAAGTTTCCTTGCGAAGGCGATGGAAGAATCTAGCAGAAGGAAGATAATGAAAGGAAACTTTCGAAGACAAAAGTTTCCTTTGCAAATCGACTTGCTAAGAAAAACTGCATAGAAAACTTTTTGGGATGGACTAGGCCTCAGCGCTGGCACTAAAAATAAATAAAATAAAATCAATCAATCAAATTAAAATAAAAATTAAAATACTTAAAAATATATATATGTGTGATGGAGAGAGCCCGACCTGAAACGGCAGATGCTTGGCAAAGGGCAGCAGGGCGATGAGGACGAGCGCGAAGACCCCGGTGACCACGCTCGCCGCGATGGCTAGCCTCAACCGAATCGGCAAAGTGACGATCACGAGGAAAGGGAAGACGAGGGACCAGGGGATGAAGGCGGAGGGAGAGGCGGGGAGTCCGGCCATGCACACCCCGACGGTCACCTGGACGAGCAGGGTCGCCAGGACGCACCAGGGGAGGAAGCGCCAGATGGTCTCGTTGAGGGCGCCGCAGGCGCTCAGGGTCCAGACGACGACGTAGAAGACGACGTAGGCGACGCTGAGGCCCAGCGGGGTCCCCGGGTGGGAATTCTCACTCGTCGTGTGAGGGGGTCCCGCTCCTCGGATCAGAATGGGAAAGTCCCTGGCCGCGGGCGTCACCGCCACGGCCGTCGCTTCTTCCCTCGCGTCTCGAATCGACATGCATATGAGGAAGATCACGTACAGCCCGAACGAGATCCCCGCAAACAGAAACACTTGCATGTCGAATCTGCAAAGACGATCGAAAGTGAAACGGAGTCGACCCCCGTCGCGACCCCCGCGAACCCGACCCCTACCTCTTCTGCCTGCGATAGTAGAGCTGAAACAGCGACTCGACCTCCGGATCCGCAAACGCCTGCCTCATGAGCTTGTGCATCGGAGTCTTCGCCGTCTTCCCCCCTTGTCTCTCCATCGCGAACTTATCCGCCTTGATGACCGAGAAGGACGACCCCCCGAGGCTCTGCGGCTTCAATATGTTCCTGATCTTACTTGAGAGCTCGGACGAATCCCCAGAGGACGTCGAACGAGCGCTTCTCCTCCTCTCCCCGATCCCCACTCCGAGTCGGTCCGGGTCCTCCCCCGCTCCTCCTCGGTCCTGCTCCTCCTCGATCCCCACTCCGAGTCGTTCCGGGTCCTCCTCCTCCTCTCCCATCGTCTGCTACGGGGATGCCATCGTCCCCGTCGGACGATCGCCGTGGCGCTCCGATCGATCTGGCAGTCTGCTCCCGGACTTAATCGCCTGCGAAGGGATTTCAGTCGAACCGTGAATGAATGATGGCGCGGACATGCCTGAATGAATGATGGCGTGGACATGCCTGAATGAATGATGGCGTGGACATGCCTGAATGAATGATGGCGTGGACATTCCCGAGAACGGTCAATTAAGTTTTAAATCTGTTTGGCACTGTCATGCTCTTCTTCTCTTCCGGTATTAACTTTTTTTCCCTACCGTATTAAACGGGGAAAGTTTTGATACGCACATAATTGAGAAAGCAACCAAACACTGTAAGCATAATTGCAATAATTACGAAACACATTATCGCCCCAAAACTTTGCAGATCAATTGCTTCCGTGTTTTTTTCTGCAGCTAGGAAAGCTATTGCTCCCCGAAACGACTCCGAGGGCTGACGGAGGTGACATCTGAGTCATTAGTCTCAAATTGATTAATATGATGGGCCCTTCAAGAACAGAAAAAGGCATAAATGATCTGTGCGTTCATTACTATGAAAATGAAGGGTAAAAATGCAAATGGAGACGGAAAATGCAAATTTCAAAAATTACAGGGAAAAAAGTGAATACAGTTAGAGTTCCTCACCGTTCGTGAGCCATCGTCCGACCTCTCAAATATTATATGAAGAGATTAAATATTGTTATTATATTTTCTAAAAAATGAATATCCCCAGCGACGCCTGGTGATCATTGGACTCCACAGACAGGCTTCGACCATCGCGCATGTAAATCGTGGAGAGATCGACTGAGAGTCTCATTCTCCCGAATGAATGAAGCATTAGGAGGGGATTTGGGACCCCGAAGTCCTCGAAGCCCTCAAAGCCCTCGAAGCACTCGATATCCCGCTCGATCCGACCCGGCCACACCTTCGAGCACGTTCGTGGGGGAAATTAATTGAAGCGGGAAAGGAGAGTTGCTTTCGTCTCTGCACGCAAAAGGCCGCAGAGGATGATAAATTGCAGACAAGGCGTGTGCGAATTCTCTCTTCTTTTTTGCGTGCTAATTCCTCTCTTCTTTTTGCGTGCATATTTCTCCTCCCTCCCCCTCCTTTTTTTACTCTCTGGTTTCCTTCGATTTTGCAAGCTCTTTGGCTTGTTTCCGACTCTGTGTCCTCCGAGAGCATCTGCGGTGGAAAGCGAGAGCATCCGAGAGCATCATTTGCGGCACGAAAGGCAGGGCCCGATTGCGTGAGGGTTTTCGACGGATCAATGCCAAGGCATGCCGGTCGGGTCCAGCAATGCAAGGAAAGCTCCCCCTGCCCCCCCCCCCCTCCCCCCC